ATATATATATATATCTGTGTGTGTGTGTGTGTGTGTGTGTGTGTGTGTGTGTGGCACTGATCCAACTCTGTGTTGCAACTGGTCCAGGTCATTGACCTCGTGTGTGGAGCGGTATCTTTTCCTTCTAAGAAGGTAACTTAATAACTTTGACTTTTATTATATATACTTATGTTCATGATTGAATCATTGAATATGACATGTTACAGCGAGGAAGAAGTGACACCACTGCCGTCCGTCCAACCGCCTGTGACGACGCCCACGTACATCATCATTCCGACGTCACCGCAGCCGTACCAACCGTGGCCATGGGTTAATCCGTGAGTTGAAATTTCTTCATTTATTTAAATTCAGCACATATAAATGGGAGAAGGGCAAAACAGCTGTATCAAAACCTTTACACGTTGTCCCCCCATATTGATCTAAACATCGATATATACGGTGACAGCATCTTGCAAGTTTGATGACCAAAGTCTTGATGTCCAATCGTTCCAAATTGATAAAAGTCATAATTTTTTTTAGTAAATTATCATGTCCGCTGATATGTTTCTCTCAAGTCTGACTTAGTCTTCTTCGCCAACTCGGGAGCACAGGGCCTCTGTGAGTAGATTCCAGAGTTTCCGGTTCTTCGCAATCTTCTAGGTCTCTTGCCAGGTTATGTTGGCTTTATCCAGGCCTTTCCTCACGCCTCTTCTCCAGGAAAGGCGGGGTCTGCCTCTGTGACGTTTCCCCTGGGGATTCCAATCTAGGGCAGTTCTTGTTATGGACGTTGGCGGTTTTCGCAATGTGTGTCCAATCCAACGCCACTTCTTCTAATGGTGATTTCAATATCTCTCATACAGACCACGCAGTTATTCCTCCGCAAGTTCCTCTTCTTCCTCGGGAGACATCTGGGACCGCCGCTCCACCCCAGAGGAGGTCACACCCGTCCCAAAACCTGCCAGGGAGAAACAGTACTGCTCCGGCTGTCAGCACGAGTTCCACGTTAACGACAAGATCATCAACTACAACGGGGACCAATACCACGAGATCTGCATCCCGTAAGTTATATCTCTAGCTTCACTACTTCTAGCATCTAACACCTAAAGTCTTTGGGTTCCATGCAGGCATTTTCTGAAAAGAGTGGGTTGTGATCATAGTCCAGGACTGATATAGTAGCTCACATGTCTACATCTACCAATGAATGCTTTGGGTTCTACATACACTTTTTTTTAGATAGGCTGGGTTTGTAATCTAGGACTGATTGTGTGTAGCCAAAGGTGTTTTTTGTAATGTTTTATGTTTCCTCATGTTCGGACGTACCGCTGAGAGGAACCAAACTAAGGTCTGCACAACTTCTTTTGCATTGAGTGGAATTATGATTTACATTTTATGCTTGATTATAACACAGGAGGAAGTATTGCCACGCCTGCGAGGAACCCTTTCAGAATGACGAGAAGAAAATCTACCATAATGGCCAACTGTTTCACGACAAGTGCATGTACGTCTTTCGTTGTTGCTTTTGTTTTTATTTTTTTGTTGCTATTCCTATTGATGTGATGCATACAGCATGTATACGACAATGTTACATCTAACACTGATCCATCTATCCTGATCTCTTATTGTATAGAATGTTTTATTTGATTTTGTATAAGTTATTTTGTCTCTGCTGCTACCTTTCAGTTATTTAAATGGCTGAACAATTTGTTATATTTATCTTTTCTTTGGAATTATTATCAGTAGACATTATGTTATATTCAGTTATTTATGTTATTTATACCTTTGTTAATTTTGTTGGCACCTTTGTTGATTACGCACAACTCTGGATTATGTTCAGATTATTCTGTGCTTCTTCTTTAGGTCGACCTCTGACCTCTCCTATTGATTTGAACTTACTTTATTATTTTGTAATCATCATTATGTACAAAGTTTTGTTATCTATGTTTTATTTTATTGACCCCAGGAAGAATAGTGCTTTTAAGCACTAATGGGGATCGAAATAAACAAACAAACAAACAAACACAAACACATTGTGTTCAAAATAGTACAAAGTGTTATGACTGTATGTGCGGCATGTATTTGTATTTGTACACAGGGTCCTGGTGGATATCAAGGAGACTACAGTAGAGAAGGGAGTGGAAGTTTGTGCCGAATGCTCTCTTCCAATCAAGGAGGACGAGACTACTGTCATGTACAATGGATACGAGTTCCACCAGAAATGCCTGTAAGTTTCTTATTCTTGATCGTCGGCTTAAGGGTGATAGCACAAAAGTGCTGTTATTTTTAACCCCCAATTGCCAATAAAAGAGTTGGCTTTATCCAATTAAAATCCCTGTCAGTAGATGTAGCAGATAGTTTGTAGCGTCCTCCGCCTCTTTCCTTTGTGTTAGAAATGGCTGTCAGAGATTTTAAAAAAAGTCCTCCATCACAAATAAACTTTCAAACTACGACGAGAAGAATTGGCATGATCTTAGAGGCCAAACCATCGTTCAGAATGGCATTTGAATCATATAATGTCATCATGCAACTTTTCTTCCATAGTCAACAGGACGATGAGTACAAATGCCAGGCGTGCAAACAGCCTATGAATGACAACGACCGCATGATCACTTACAACGGCGTGGACATCCATGACTACTGCATACCGTGAGTCATATACTCTTATTTTCTCTCAAACAGAAATCACATATTACTTGTATAACGTAATGGTTAATACCGTATCTGCGCCTGCATTGTTCTTGTTCCGTTACTTTTTCATTGTGATTCGTCTATGCACAGTGCCATTCTAATCCTTATATTACCACTAATAATAACAATTACAATTTGCACCTTTATTTCAGATTACTGAAACAGATAATGGCAGGGTGAGTTCACAATTCGTGATCATATTCAAATGATGCAAACCTTCATTACCTCTGCGTTTGTCGTAAATTTACATTTTGGACTTTTTAACTGTATTGAAGTGTGGAAACGCATTTTAAGATATCAGATTTTAATATTTTATATTAAGGAAACTTTAATCTATCATATTTATCTTTGTTAGAGAGAAACCCGGACAACCGAATGTCAGCCCAAGCCAGCATCCGGACTGCCAGATATGCGGGTAGGCCAGATTCAATTCCTAGACACAAGATCTGGAATTCGTGCATCAGTTTTATAATGTAAATGATATGTACGAATTATTTTCCTTGAAATAAGTTAAGAGGCTACAAAGTTTATTTTGTAATGATATCATTATTACGTACAGTTCGACATGCTCTTACACGCTCTTACATGTATGTTTCGCCTTTATTATACATAAAACACCTCATGCTTTTTGTAACCACATATTTCTACACCTAGAACCCGACTGGGTCCAGACGCAGTAGAAGTGAGCGGAAAGGGTTACTGTCCCAAATGTTACCCCATGGTCCAGTATCCAGTCTGCAATGGCTGCGGGTAAGTAGTCTTGGAATTGGACTTTTTTCGACACTTATTGTAATATCTAATGTATTGTACTATGCTGTATCCAAAGAGCACACCATAAAAATGCTGTGTTTGAAAACATTATGATACTTTTCGTTTTACAGGGAGGAAATCACAGGTCCGTCTGTGACTGGATTGAACCGGAAATGGCATCCTGAGGTACGCTATATCTACGTCAGCATTACTCTCATAGTCAACTGCATCAAACAAGAAAAGAAAACGACTATGACACGGGGTCATAAAATCCCATCGATGATATTACTAACCATGAATATTAGATAATGAAATGCAAGCCATTATTTTCGGTTAATACGTGATACTTTATGACAGATTACTACCAAGATTAGCAGTAATAAACTTTATTCAAGTAACCAAAGAGAACATGTCACATGCTATGTACTAACTGGCAGTTTAATGTGTCTTCAGCACTTTAGCTGCTCCGATTGCGGGGTCCCATTCGAGCAGCTGAACCGGGTTTACTACGAGTACAACGGAAGGGCCTACTGTAAACGCCACTATGACGAGGTAAGGGACTATTCACTATATATCACATATCAGGATGACTGATGTCTTGTTCTTGAAATAACATTATGTAATTTACGATAATGTTGATGTGAACAGTCTGACTTTGTCTATTGTGTCTATTGATTACGAATACGTTTGTACAAAACTTCGCAGGACCTTTTGTAAGCAGTTCTTATCTAGCAATATTGTATGGTTTGGAGCTAATGGTGTGTCTATTTCGTTACAGAATTTTCAGATATGTTACCACTGCAACCAACCAGTAGAGGGAGAACGTAAGTGTCTTTAATTGTTTCTATACATACCAGATCCTGCCATATGCTGTCTACCAATTCCGGCAAAGAGTGTTGCACACTTTTTGACGATTTTCAACTTTGTTTTGTAGCCGTCGGAGTGTTCAACAAGTTCTGGTGTGACGACCATTTCAAGTGTTCGTTCTGTGACGCCCCGTTCACTCTTAAGTAAGTATCTCTTACATACATAGCTTATAATGATGATGATATGGTGATTATGAATACAACCGTGTTTTGGTGTCTTTGACTGTTTGTTTTGATAGTCCGTATTGTACATTAGCAATTGGTTGATGTAAATGGCCAATAGTCAGATGTACGTGTGGCCATATATTTGCACTATCCCTTATTGAGACAAAGTTTTGCCATAAATAACAGGACTCTCTTAAAGTGTGATGTGTTTGTTTTATTTCTTTCAGGTCGAAGTTTTACGAAGTTGACCAGCGCCCGGCCTGTAAGATGTGTTACAAGGCACTTCCACGTATGGAGAAGCGGAAGACAAAGTTACCAAAACGGAAGTGAGGTTCAGAGATCCATTCCGTTCAGTTCAGTTCAGTTCGTTTCAGTTCGTTCAGTTAATTTCAGTTACACAATGTACATGTATACGTATCAAACAGTAAATGGTGCATACTGCTTTCTTTTGCTTGGCATTCAGGGAAAGTATGGTAGTTAAACACACACCATTACAACTGGACTAGTAGATTGTAGTAATAGCACAAGCGTGTGTGGCCCAAGGGTTATTGAACCGAAGATTGGCACCGCCCTATGCACCATTTGGTGTGGGAAGAACTACCTCAATAAATCTCTGTCAAGCACTTTTCATGGATCCCAATGCATGCTGGGAGACGCGGGGCACTATGGGTAGCTCCGGCCGGTAAACAGCCTATTTTGTTTGTTTTATTTATTGTTTGTTTGTATCGGTGACCGTAATGGTTAAGCAGATTTACTAAGCTACTTTCATCTATTAGTCAATAGAGGGGAATATTGAAGTAATTACTGCGTTGGTTGATGGTAAGTTTACCATAAATATGCTTTCTATATCTATGTATTCACGAGTGTGCTTTATGAACAATGAACTTGGCATAAGGTAGGGTTTTAAGCCATACAAAATGGTGACATTAGCTTTGAAAGGGTATATCATAAACCAGTCATGCGTTGAATATTGGGAATAAAATTGTGCTAACAAGAGACCTTTTTATTGACAAGTTTAATGGCTCTCTACTTGCGTAGGGCATACACTTGCCTCTCAATGTACGGTTTGTTTACGTCGATGAAGGTTAGACATCCAGGTAATACGATACGCCAGAAAGCAGTTACTCAAGCAACTGGATATTATTTTGGAATTTCCAAAATCATATCCAGTCGCTTTTTGGCGTCTGGTTTGTTTACACCACTTTAACCAAGCTTGACAGTCACTACACGCTCTGGGTGTACCCTGAAAAGAAAGTACATGTCTTGTAGATTGACGACTTCCCTTGCGGTCAACCGCACTTGTTGTAAATAAGACTTTAACGTCCTTCACCGGTCATGACTGGTAAAAAGGCTGCACAATGCTCTCCTTGTTGCGAGTCTTTAGTCACGGAGGGCGTTGTATGTATCTATCCAGAACGCACTGGATACGTGCGTCGACTATCCAGAACCGTTCCTGGGCATGGCGCCGGATAAAGCACTGCGTGGCGTAGCGGCAGACTGCTCGATTCGGGTCCTGACATTCCATCGATCTTGTGCCCTTGGGAAAGGCACTTTACACGACTTTCCAATTCGCTCAGGTGAAAATGAGTATTGTATTGCCCCCGGTGTTGGTGCCGGCATTAATATAAGTTGAAAAAACTTGAGTTTGCCGTCACTACGTCTTGTGATTACATGTTGGAATATACAAAGCGGCTCTCATCACATTGGGAAGATTCTGATTAAGACACACATTTACTGCAGCTGCGGGGGTGACGAATATCCTATATACTATAAACACACCTGCTGCTTTGCATCACTAAACCCTAGTAAACCGGAATAAAGCGCATTAGGTGGGTTCACTAGATTCGCAGCAGTTGACGACAAACAAATGTTCAACAGAGGACCATGTTATCTACTACATCTGATCCACTTCTCTATTCACAAGTATAAGAAGACGGTGTATTTGATAGGAATTGAGTGGGCACGTCCATACTTTACTATCGTGGAATGTGCGTCGGATGCATTGTCTGTGACAGGTGAGTAGTCAAGGCTTAACAATAACATTGTGGGAGGGGAAGAATTCTAAGAAGGATTAAAGTTTTGAGCGATCGCTGTAGGCCTGGATTAAGCTTAAGGCCAAAGGGGGCAGTAACCTTTGTTTACGGTGAAATTACACTTGAATGGCTTAATTGCTGTTGTCCTAAATTGTATGCCTCTTCACTGTGGTTAAAAACAAATGATAGATAATCAGATTTGCTGTCTGATCATGAATTACGTCTTGATGCGGTACCTGTGGTTTTCCGTTTCACCCTGACTTGGAGAATGCCGAGCAGGGGTACCAAACAACAGACGTGTTTATAGTAAGGCCATGTTGATTTGATTATATGGATGACATCCGCGCGCGCATGAATTTTCGGCCGTTTCCAAAAAAAAGAAAAGTTTTCAACCATGCTGTAAATCGTGCAAAACAGTTGCTAAATGAGCAAAAATATACCATACGTTGCAAGGAAAACATTGAGAAACGATACCAACGTTGTAGAATGCCAAAATCAAAGGAAAAAAGACAAAAATGTAAAGAAATGAATTCGAAGAGTAGATTATTCGCCATAACATATTCTGTGCCATTTGTTCAAACTTCATGACCACGTAGATTTCATAGTGAAAGCAACTTTTTTTTTGCAAAACTTTTTTTTAATTCGCACGCGCGCATCAGTTTTGGGGTTCCATATAATCAAATCAACATGGCCTAAGTACTAAAACTCTAATTCTGTCATCAGTAGCTTCCACTACGTACCGTGCATTCATGTGATGCGTTGTTGTCCCCTGAGTATGTGGAAAGTTTAAAGTAAGTTAACATATTTTTCAGAACAGCTTATAACACTGGGTTTTACTCTTTTCTATTACCTGGGGGGGTGGGGTTCAATGTATCTTGGATACCGTGTACACCATTGACGTATTCTGTCCATTGCCAAGACCTCACAACAAATGAATCATTGTGTTGCGCTGCTTAATAGTCAAAGCCTCAGCTGGATCGTGGGCAAAAGGAAGCATCTAAGAAGCTTATTTGCGGTATGTGTGGATTATGTAGTGAATTCCCAATACAAAAGTTTTGCTCTCCAATGTACACGTAGGACGTGTGGCGAATGCCAAAGTCATAGCGACGCAACCCAATAGGGCAGATGTTTGGCAGGAAATTGTAATGCTTCTCGACTTTCTTAATACGGACAGTGACCAGCAAGAAAAGATTACTACGATTTTTAGTAGTAGCATCTGCTTGGATATTACACGAAGACACCCACACGATTTGGTACTATGTTATGTAACATTGAAGGAGAAAATGACAAGATTTTTCCCAGGGTTAGTTTAATAACTACTAAATAAGACATTTGTTATTACATTCACTTCACCAATGTCCCTCTTGTCCACATAAAACATAACCATACATAGCCACCCTTTATACGTTATCACCGTTTATCATTCTTGTAAACAAAAATGCTTTGAGATACAAAAAAAATTACAGCGTGTATCTAAATTATTGTTGCTTTTCCCAGACAAAAGTAGTCAATGGTCATTGATAAATAAGGCTAACAATGTTGACTGTAACAGTAGTTTAAAATGACTAACACTAAACTAATATCCAACAGCCACAAATATATAGAGAGCCACAGAAAGAGAGCCAAAACTAGTTAAGTATGTGTTGGGTACAATGTGAGGGTTTACGTGCCTTTTTAATATGTTAGGCAACCATGAATTCATTTAGCATATACCTACTAGTATAGCACAAAAACGACAACATGCTTATACATACACGTATGCTATCATACAATATACTTAAGCTTACTCGTTTGTCCTTTCTATCCAAAACCAGACATAGCAAAATAATCACAATACCGAAAGCCCGTACAAAAATGTTAGCAAAAAATAAAAACAAATTAAAAAGAAAACAACTTGCTTCATCCTCACCTAATATGCATTTGTAACTACATAGCGTTCTGAGGACAGAGTGATTGTATGCGCATGTATTGTTACGTCTTTGTAAGTATATATTAATAGCTTTGATGGATTTTGTACTGTGTGCGATTGCTAGATGTTTGAAAAATGATGAAATCTATCGAGATTTAACAGGTTGGTTGAAAGAATGAACATCTTGGTTTACTTTGGGTAAAGAGTCATTATATTTTTAGCCTTCATTCAAAACAATCACGGTTTACTTTGAGTAAAGATTGTCATGACATTTGTATGCTTGAGCCTTCTTTCATGACAATCTCACGTCAGCCTGTTGGTTGCTTTCAACTGAGATCATGGGGCGGTGAATCTCTAGGTCTCACTCGGTCTCACTCCCGCTCTGCCAGATGTTGAAGGTGTCTTGGAAGGCCGGTAGCTTCGTCTTGCGGTGTTTCTTTCGAGGAACCGATCCGTAGCACCTCTTACAGGCAGGGCGCAGGTCAACCTCGTAGAACTTCGACCTAAAAGAGATAAAACTTACACATCAGACAAAACATACAAAAAGTGTTCTATTGTTGAGATGTCTGCACTTAAATTTTCATAGAATAGCTATACAAGATGAACCCCATTTTGAAGAGGGTGTTTCCCTACTTACTGCATATTTCTAATAAATTTCTACGTACCTTTAAAAACAAAACGTGCGAGTCGTTGCATTTTCACATGGCGCTTAAAATACATGGTTTATCTTGTTTCACAATGAATATGGTTTTTTGTTTGCTTTCCTGTCCGAAGATCGAAAACCAGGGAACCTATCTTTTACACAATTGAAGAGTTTATCTCTCTAATCAAGCTATATAAGCGATACTTACTGCAGAGAGAACGGGGTATCACAGAACGAACACTTGAAGTGGTCTTCGCACCAGAACTTGTTAAAAGCACCAACGGCTGAAAAAGCAAAATAGAAAATTTGTCATTACGTTGTCTAATAATATCTACCAATGAGTATGATTTACAAACTATACCTTACAGAACTAATGAGCATTTCCCATAATTATATCGTCTAGCAAAGTAAAAAGAACCACAGTAGTTAAACTTTTGTCACATTATCATGGTCTCATCACTTAGTGGTAACTAATTGTACATTGAATGTATACCGTTGCAACTGACATTGGGTATCTGTATGGTACTAAATAGAAAGTAAATACGTCTTACTTTCTCCCTCTACCGGCCGGTCGCAGTAGTAACATATCTCGTACATCTGAAACAAAAAAAACAATAGTTTTAGCCTTAAAGTTTGTTTGTACGTATCTAACATAACGTGCCATACAACTATAGCCTGGGTGCCATCCGATTTGTAACGGCAACCCCGAAAAAATCTGTAGGAACTGAAATCAGGAGATCGTGTCAAGTTTTGTTCTGACTGATCCATATTCAATATACCTAGAACTAGATAAGAAACATGGTTATACATACAAAAAAAATTAACATACGCAATGCTATGTCAATAACAATACACCAGAATCATCCTCCTGAGTTACATAGTGTGAAAGTTTCTTACCTCATCATAGTGGCGTTTGCAGTAGGCCCGTCCGTTGTACTCGTAGTAAACCCGGTTCAGCTGCTCAAACGGTACCCCGCAGACGGAGCAGCTGAAGTGCTGAAGAGTTGTTGATATAATTAGTAATCAGTACATAGTTTATGACAGTGTATCTGATTAGTTAATATGCATATTCGCTTATCACAGCAGAGGAATCTTTGTTGTTGTTGTTGCTGTGTCTTTATCCATCCTTTCATAGACCATTTTTAAACCCAAGAGAGTGCAATTTATATTTCCATCCATAGTATTGGTAACATCATCATTACAGGTTATATATGATACAGTTTATGACTTTTAAGCTAAGGCTCTGAAATATAGCTACATACCTCGGGATGCCACTTCCTGTTCATTCCAGTCACAGACGGACCTGTTATCTCCTCCCTGAATACAGAAAGAGAGAGAAATGTTTGAATTTATGGGTTTCAAAAGTAGTATTTGATATTACGGAGCACACATACTATAGTTATATTTACTGCAAACACTTTGAAATGTGGGTATGAGATTATGAACACGAACTACTTACCCACAGCCGTTGCAGACTGGATACTGGACCATGGGGTAACATTTGGGACAGTAACCCTTTCCGTTCAACTCTACTGCGTCTGGTCCAAGCTGGGCTCTATGTTGGGAAATACGGGGTTATACAACAGTTGGTGTGATCTAACACACTGTTTACAATGATACATGTTTTTTATGATGCTAGTTGTTATCCATATTAAGCATTTTCAGGGAATTAAGATCACCACTGCAATGGAAAACATTGCCACTGAGTCATAATTAAAAATTCGTTGACCTACCCGCATATCTGGCAGTTTGGATACTGACTGGGGCTGACAGGTCGCTGTCCATGTTCCTCTCTGTTGAAGAGCAAATGAGATGACAAAAGTTATTTCCACATATTAGATTTCGTTTCGATGTAGTATTTAGCCATAACAGCATCTTGTGCGTGTATATACAGAGAAACCGTAGGCAGATGTGTCATTAGAAGATTTTGAATGTGAATTGTAAACTTACCCAGTTATTATTTGTCGCAGCAATCTGCAATAGAGAACCAACATAAAATTAGACATAATACCAGATAATTGGTACAAATATTATCACTATGCAAGGGTTTGATTCATAACGTTATTGCATGCTTGAAAATACTCAAGAGAAACTAGGAACTGAGTGTACAGCATCGAACTAATGTTTTGTTCCTTTTAATCATTCATACAATGTAATTGTTTTAGCGCGATGATCTAGCTAATATTAGTGAGATGTTGTCCGGATCCGTGGGAGAGTAATGGCGGACAATTCGAAAATCGGACATGAATATTTGTTTTTGCGGACATGAATGAAAGTACGACTCACGGGATGCATTCGTCGTGGATGTCCACGCCATTGTAGCTAATGATGCGCTCCGGGTCAACCATCGGGAGCTTACAGGCGCCGCAGAGGTCCTTCATGATCAGTTCTCGCCGCGGCTGGCTGTAGGGGAAGGGAGGGGGGGGGGAGTTTGAAAACATTGTACGAATTTGATCTTGAAACACACCACCCGTAAAGGTTCCGTTTCTTCACTATAAGGCATCCAATGCAATGTCAGCAATCTGTGCGGCGAAACGAATATTAGTAAACTAAACATGTAGTCTCGTGACTTGACTTGCCACTTCGAACCATATTGGCAGCGCAGAAGCTCCTGGCTTGCATAGCATTTCCCATGCCACTAGCTTGGAGCCCAGTGTCTCTTTTCAGCACATTGTCTCATAGCCTCGTAGAGTCGTGATTTAGATGAAATTCTTGCTAAGCGCTTACTACATGATGATGTCTTATTTTGAGCATAAGACGTAAGTTGAAATTTTACTCTGCCAAAGCACAAAGATTCCTGGAGTTGAAATCGTAGCCATATGCTGAAAAGCTTGCAACATCCTCCTACAGATGCGCGCATTTTGATTTAACGCAAGCCTGTATTCGGGAAGGCCATCTTACGAGCATCTGGCATGGAAGGGTCGCCCATCCTCCCACATGACTTTTTCGAGTTCACTGATTGGTCGATCGCATGCATCACACATCTTCATCACTGTAGTAGGTTTTCTAGCGGTTCGAGTCGTTACGAAAAGGATGATGAATGGGGATTAGTTTGTGAAATAGTGGGTATTAAGGAGTTATGTGTGGGTAGAGAGATATTGGTAAATCTTGGAAATATCTTTAGTTGCCTGGTTAGACATATATGGCAATTTCTGCTTCGCGCTTATATAAAATCATCAGAGATCATCGTTATGTAAAATAATTTAATTATAAGATTAAGCATTTTAATGACAAGCACACCAGCAAATAGACGCCAAATGAAAACCTTTTCACGAGTCGCCATGTAAAACGTAATGCATTACAAATACATTACAAATACATGAATCTTGTAAATACAATGCTTGTACGCCTGTGATTTCAAAAGCAAGCAGGTTTTTGCGTGTTTTATTTTTATTGCAGCTAATGCAATCGCAATTGCTGCAGTAGGATGCGAGATCGAGATGTTTTGTGTTCTTACAGACACCCCTCGTGGTACGCTACTCCGTCGTGTACTACTGCTCTGTCCTCATCGGAGAGAGGTCTTTCGCACCCTGCGCACCGACCGATTACGACAGGCCTTCGTCTGGGCGAGACAGGTACATGAACATGTGGTAAGTCTCTGGTTCTTTCGCCTTCTTGATAATGAGTGCATTCGGTTTTCATTAGCCACAGCCTACCATTGCTGCAGTATGCTATCCTGTGGGCTTTCGTTGTCTCTAATGTGGTCATTTTTAAATATTTTCTACATCTAGATTATTGTTGGCATCCATTCACTTCTGTGACATAAAAGATAAGATCTAATAAAAGGAAATATACAATAGTTCCATTCTGTTACATGGAGAGGCATCTACACGCACGCAACTTTGTGTAACTATTCCTAGATTAAAAAGGGCGGTTATACTGGCTATACCGATACAGATACAGAAAAAAACTTACAGGCATGATTGGTGGAACTCGTTGCCATTGTACATGACAGTGGTTTCGTCTTCCTTGATCGGAAGAGAGCATCCGGCACAGACTTCCACTCCCTTCTCTACTGTAGTCTCTGTGATCTCAACCAGGACCCTGAGTACACAAATCGCACTTACTCATCAAGGATAACTATGAAATAACGACACATTTTCTACATTTTGATCCACGATTCTGTAACCTTGGTTCAGTGGCGTCATACAAACAGTTCAATCATGCCAAAGACTAAGAATGATTCAATTGCAGACTAAATACCATTCTTCTAAGGTATCATCATCATTTGTGTACCACTTCCTTAGTCTATGGCATCCTATGACCAAACAAGCAAATTAACTTACATGCATCTGTCGTGGTAGAGCTGGCCATTGTGGTAGATTCTCTTCTCGTCATTTTGCAGAGGTTCGTCGCAGGCAGGGCAGTGATGAGCTGTCTTCCTCCTAGTCAACGATCACACAACACCAAACACATGTTATGTCGCATCCAGTATTATACGAATTTCATTGCTGACTGTTGACCAAGGTTCATGATGTGAATAGGATCTTCTGTCATTTCTAGTGCTTTTCTATGCTAGTTTTATAACGGGAAACAGATATTGTTTTCAATCTGTAGAGAGACCACTTTGCATGAGTAAGGCACAATTGACTAAAGCTTATTCAAAAATAGTATACAGACCTTGGCATGTCCAGTATGTGCCGACATCTTTCACTTATTGCAGCATGAGGGAAGGCAAGACATAACGTTTGGCCAAGCATGGCATCAGCATATCTCAAAATGGCTACATTACAAACAGGGCCTAGAGCTTGAAGAAAATTAGAAACTCAAGAAGATTCTCGCTATCACAAAGAACTTACGGGATGCAGATCTCGTGGTAGTAGTAGCCGTTGTAGTTGATGAGTTTGTCGTTGATGTCGAACTCGTTGTGACAGCCGGAGCAGTACTGTTTCTCCTTGGCGGGCTTCTGAACCAGGATCTCCTGGTGTCTGGGAGGGGAGGGACGCTTCGGTGGCGTCGGCTCCTCCCAGCGTTCTTCTTCAAAAGAGTCGGGCTCGTAAATCTGTTGTGTCCTGTTAATGAAAAGATCAAGATCAAGTATTGAAATGCTCCGATTGCCAAATTAGCAAAAGCTGACAGAATAGCTTGCTCTTAAGAATATAGTAGAATGTATCATCATGGTCCATTGAAAATTTACCTCTGGTTGGTTTGATACGATAGACGAAAAATAGATAGACACATAGATAGATAGATACTATTAGAAAGATAGATAGATAGATAAGTAGATAGATAGATCTAGATGGATGAATAGGTAGATACTATTGGAAACATACTTTAGATGACATAGATAACTAAATATAGATGTATTGGATCATGTCTCACTGGTCAATCCAAATGTCGGGTTGCGGTTGCGGTGCCGGAATGATGATGTAGGTAGGCGAAGTCGGTTGCTGAATTTGTTGTATTGGTGGGTATGGTTGTGGAACCTGGGTCTCAATCTCTCTCTCTATTTCTGTGATCCTACAACACATACAGTGACATCCTCAACGATGCATTCATCCGTATGGCACAGTACGATTAAAAGCCTTAGTCACACATTGATTAGCCTGGTCACCAGCCACCCCAAGGGGCTACAGACTGGTATTTGTCGGCACTATATGCTTCTGTTACCGCCAGGCTAAAAAGCTCATCCTTTGATTCAGCCTGCTTGAACCCAATGAAAATATGTCTTCCAAGGGGGCGCTGAGGCAATATCTCATGGAGGGTATGGCCGTATGCTAGACCTGCCCGTGACGTCGACGAGCTAAGAGCGCGATTTATTCAGGCTAGATATAGCCTGTATTAACCCGGGCATCAGGCTAGGCTACACACTGAGCTATATCTTAGCTAATGTGCTTTGTCTTTGGCTAGAAGAAGTGTACTCACGTTTGGGTGATTTGTCCTTTACCACCCGGGGAAACAGGTTTAGGCTGGATGTTTTCTTTGTTCTTCTCCCGCTTGAGGGTCTCCATACTCCGGTACCTCTTCCTGTCCTTCAGCGTCTCCAGACTGCGGTATATGGTCTTGTCGACTCTGGTCTGGGTTCCAGCAGAGTCCTGTAGTACAATGATATCAATATACTCATAAACTCATGTTACGCTAACAAATGCATTGTTGTACAAGAAACAAGGGCTTAGTCATAGACAAGGGCTTAGGCTTAGGCATAGACAATGTAATTGTAGCATTGAAAGATTCATAGATAAAGAATAGATTTTCATTGTTCCATTCCATTAATAAAAAAAAGTAAACTTGACCAATATGATGAGAGCACGAATGTCCACGAATACGTCATTCATGCCATATGTTTCAGCATGCATAAAAAAATAATTTTTTCAGGCAATGACAACATGCTGGATACTAACCTGTTTGGGTTTAAACTGCACGCCCATGTTCTCCGTCCTCGGTGAGAACTGTACGGCCATGTTTGCCGTCACTTTCCTGTCCGTCACGATCTGACCGGCGTTGAGCTGAACCAGCTCGTTGAAGATCCCCTCAATGACGGTCCCCATGTTTGTGTTCCTCATGGCCTTGCCCATGGTCTGTGATCCAGCGCTCCTCATGACCGCCTTCTCCTCCTGCACGATCTGCGCGCACTCGTGGGACTGCCAGGCGTCGATGTCAGAGCCTGAGAGGTCTGTCTGGACTTGCATGACGTCCATCTTGACCTGGACCCTCCAGGTGTCCAACTCAGCCACGGTCAGGTCGGTCTGGATCAACATGTCGAACGTGACTGTCGTCTTGGTCTCGACCGGTTCTGGAACCACCGGGGCGACAATCTCTTTCTCTTCTTCTTTATCTGTCTGACAGCCAACGGTGACAGTGACGACGACAGGTGCTATTGGTGCCTTGGTTTCACCAGCCTCTTCTATGGTAACCGGCTTAACCACTTCCTTCTCCTCCACAGCATCTGTCTGGCACCCAACAGTTAAGGTGACAGTGACGGGCTTTGCTGTTTCTTCGTTTACCTCTTCTTTCATGGCGTCTGTTTGAATGCCGGTATTTGTCAATTCCTTTACTTCCTTTTCTTCAACAGCCTCCTGGTCGGTTTGGATACCGCTGCTTCTGTACTCCAGATATGCTCGACTATGTTTGGTGCCTGTTTTCTTGCTCAGCTTGATCGGTTTGTCGGTCTCGATTATCTTTTCGTCTGTCTGGCGCACTGGTCCGGCTGGCTTGACCGCTGCAGCGTCTTCCTTCTCTTCGATTCTTTCCTCTTCTTTAAATTCAGGCATCCACTCGTCTGTCTGTACCAGAGTGTTAGCGTAATCACGTGGCCTGCCGCCTGGAGTACCGGTCTTCTTGCCAACCTTCTTGATGATGTCAGTCTGGAGCGTCTTGCCTACCCGGACGTAGTCCACTGCTTTGGCTTCCTCCTTCTTTTCAGCTTCAGTCTGGGTACTTTTGGGATCCATGTGAGGTCCTGACTTCTGAGTGCCACTGTCCTGCATTGCAACCTTGTCTGTTGCCATGGTTTTTACGGGCTTCTTGTCGGCTTTCGTGGTGCCGATTTCCTTGCTCAATCTCTCCACCTTCTCAGTCTGAGTTTCAGACGAGACCATCCCTACTCCCAGAGCCTCCGTCTGTGTCTCTCCCGCGCTGACAGCAGTGACGTCTGTTCCGTGCTGCTTGTTCTGCAAATCTCTCACGATACCGATGGTCTTATCCGTTACGTCTTTCTCCGTCTGTGTGCCTTGGCTCGTTCCTACGAAGATTATGGTAGCCAGGCTCTTGTCTTCCTTGAAAGAAGCATCTGTGATGTTCTCTGCGTCTGCTGTGGTCACTTGATCGGTGTCGATGTGTTTCTGTACGACCTCTTCTTCCTCGGTAACTAGATTCTTCTCTTCTTTTGCATCTGCGTCTGTCTGATACGCGACGGTCGTTCCCTTCTCCTCTTCATCGGTTGCGATGCATTTCTCCTCCTCGACAAACTCCATGCTGGTGCCTTGATCAACCTTTACCACTTCGATCTTCACACTGATTTGCTTTGCCGCTTTCTCCTCTTTGTCAGTCTCCGTTGTCTTGGGCTCTTTCTCCTCAACATCGGTGGCATATGCCTTCTCATCCTTTTCTTCTTCAAGTGTTTCAATGGATTTGTCCAACAGTTCCTCAATCGTCTGTGTGCTGTTATCCTGTATTTCCTTTTCGACCATGATCTCCTTCAGAAGGCTTTCCACCTTCTCTGTAGCACTGACTTTTGCCTCCTTCTCCGGTGCATCTGTCTCCTCCTCCTTCGCCACTTTCTCTTCCTTCTCTGTAATGGTCCCTACTTCCTCAGTCTTCGTCTTATCAGTTTCCTTCACCTTAGCCACTTTCTCCTCCACCTCAGTAGCAGTGCCGACGCTTTCGGTTTCTGTTTTGTCCGTTTCTAAGCCTTTCTCGACAACTTCCTCTTCAACCGTTGCCAGGTCTTTCTTCATCACTTCATCCAGATCCGTTTCGAGATACTTCACATCTTTCTCTTCTTTCTCTGTTTCTTCTAACTTTTCATTTTTATCCTCCTTGTCGGTAGCAGTGACCTTCTCATCCGTCTGTATCTCCATCGCAGTTCCCTTATCTTCTTGTGGAATCGGATCTGTTCCTGTTTCCTTTCCTTCTTTTTCCTCCACCTCTGTTTCCGTTTCTTTTGGTACGATGATAGGAGCTACTGTTGCCGAATCCTTGGTGTCCTTCTCTTCCTTGTCTGTACCGAGTGTCTTGCCGTCCGTCTCATCCGCCTCGGTTTCCGTCTGCTTACTGTCGCTTTCTTCTGGTTCAGTTTCCGTTTGTTTCGGAATCGGAGCAGGCGCTGCATCGGTCTGAAATTCAGCCTCCTCTTTAGTTTCCGGATCCGTCCCGAGCATTTTGGCGTCTTTTTCTACCTCGTCGGTAGCGGCCACCTTGTCGGGTTTTTCTTCAACTTCAGGTTCGGTCGTCTTCGATGCCTTCTCTTCGGGAGTTGTGGCTATCAACAAACAAAGTATACAATGAAATATTACATATTCGTATTCATACCTATAAACTCCAAGGCTTGGCCAGAGGTTTCGCAGCTCTCAAACCAATCACACCAACTCTATACAACTCTATATGCAAGGGAAAAAACTGAAGAAGTCAGATACCAGTACATTGTGCAGCATGGTTGCAGAAAAGATACATTGTTGCCAACAGTTGAAGATAAAACCCTTCAGACTTTAGCATATGCCACCATGGCATAGCATGTATATCCGATATTGCAACTACTTCCATCGTCTTTAGACTACGGCAGCAAGCAATTTCGCTCAATAAACCAGTTTGTAAACCAGCCTTCAGATAGGTATTGGCCGAGCATCCTTTAAAGCTTTATTGCGTTAGGACAGGGACGATTACAGGACAGGGCAAGAAGAAGTAAGTGTTAAGACAAAGAGGAAAAGTAGCTATCAACCCAGTAAGATACCGCTTCACCAGGTAGTAGAACACAAATATGCGCTGTTTCTGCTTATTTCGAAAGCCATAATTCAAGGCTATGTGTGTGGTAATACATCCCTAGCTTACAGCGGCACCCAGCGGCACCCTCACTACATAAACTAAACCGTCCTTGCACTTCGAGGTATACCAGCAAGGATAAATGAGCCCTCACAAGAAAACACATATCCAGCAAATGAGAAGTATGCCACCAAGTTTCGTGATAGGTCGGTAGGTCGCAGAATTTGCCCCTTAATGTCCTCTTACCAACACTTTTGGGTTCTTTTGGGTCCTCTTCTGTCTCTGTCTCTTTGGGCAATACGACAGGAACATCGGTCTCTGGTGTCTTGTCTTCTTTTTCTTCCTTCTCTGTACCCAGGTCTTTTTCATCCGTCTTCTCTGGATCAGTGCCGAAAGCCTTGTCGTCTGTCTCCTCAGGATCTGTTGCTGTTTGCTTGGGAATGACCTCCGGAACTTCCGTTTCCGTTTCTTTAGGAACCGGATCCGGAGGTGCCTCCGTCTCAGGTGCTTTGTCTGCCTTCTCCTCCTTGTCGGTTCCGACTGCCTTGGCGTCTTTTACGTCTTCCACTGTGGCCGTTTCTTTGGGAACAGTTTCGGGCGTCTCTGTTTGTGGCGACTTGTCGTCCTTTTCTTCCTGGTCAGTAGCTGTAAGTTTGTCAGGCTTCTCTTCAACATCAGGTTCAGTTGTTTTAGGTACCTTTTCTTCACTGACAGTGCCTAAATATGGGGAAGTGAATACGATATTATTTGCATGTTCCAAAGACAAAATGGCTTGTCATCGATAGGCCACGACAAAGCCGTTACAAACATATGCACAATCCGATTTGTGCGAGAGACCCCACAGAAACCTGAAATGCAAGAAGTAACAAAGCTTCAATGAAGATAAATGCAGAAGAACCCTGGACTATCTTCGCCCCCAGAGCGAAGACCGAATAGATGCATATGATGAGTAGAATCCTCAGTATCAGACTGACCCAGAAAGTAGAACTTCAACTAAATGCAAAGTCAGGAGCACGCGTACAGCACTAAACTAAAGATTGTCCCATTCCAGCTTTTGGGCTGTTCACACCGTAATATCGTTTTCAACAAAGTGTTTGTCTACAACCGTATTTACCACACAGCAAAAATTAGGCAGAACAAAGACACTATAGCCACATGTAAGATGTATGAGTTCTCATCAAAATTGCTTTGAAAGGAAAGAAAGTGAAGTGGATTGGTGGTAATAGCTCGAAAAATAAAAAGATGTAAGTTCATCGATCTAAAATCTACTATACCAACTAATACGCCACATCTCGTCCAAGTAACTCTAGAAAGAGGTCTCTAGGAAGATTAGATCTCTAGCTATACATTAGGCCAAGAGAAACCGGTAACAATGAGATGCAAGTCTGTAAGTGCCACATATGAGTCGCATAAGAAGACAAGAGGCACCTGCAGATGAACATAAATATCCCAGCGCAGCACCCACTCATGAGACGATCTAGCTTACCGATACTTTTCGGTTCTTTAGCGTCTTCCTCTGTCTCCGTTTCCTTGGGTACCACAACTGGAATATCAGTTTGTGGCGTTTTATCTTCCTTCGCTTCTTTCTCAGTACCTACGTCTTTTTCGTCTGTCTTTTCCGGATCAGTGCCGAAAGCCTTGTTGTCTGTCTCTTCCGGATCCGTCGCTGTTTGCTTGGGAATGACCTCCGGAACTTCCGTTTCCGTTTCTTTAGGAACCGGATCCGGAGGTGCCTCCGTTTCAGGCGCTTTGTCTTCCTTCTCCTCCTTGTCGGTTCCGACTGCCTTGGCGTCTTTTTCGTCTTCCACTGTGGCCGTTTCTTTGGGAAGAGTTTCAGGCGTCTCTGTTTGTGGCGACTTGTCGTCCTTTTCTTCCTGGTCAGTAGCGGTCAGTTTGTCAGGCTTCTCCTCAACCTCAGGCTCTGTTGTTTTCGATAGCCTTTCTTCAGCTACCGTTCCTATGTTACAATATGATATCAATATTAATCATCATTCAACACAATGTCTGTACTATATATACATATAGTACAGGGATTGAGAAACACGATACACCATACTCTTAGATACGGAGCATACAGCAAATATCAGCATATGCTGTAGCTGTTATCATGCCCCCATGTGTGTGCTGACCAGAGAAAGATTGAAGGGGACTGAGGTGCCACCTTGCGGTACATAAAAGAAGAAGTAAGAGATCCCAGTCTCGCTTCTTCGTTTGCATAGCCTGCTTTCCATATTGAGTATTCAAAGAGTAAAGGGCACATAGAATGTTAGAACACAGTGGTAAATCTGAAATGGAAACAATTCCCTTTTTTTAAATACCTAGACAGTACAGAATACATATATATTCACCGGCAGTGCCGACCTCTCCTCTAGCAGAGGATTCACTTGCATATATACATACTGCCAATGTATCCAACGCAGGCGTCCATTTCCAGCAGAGGTGGGAAGAGGGATGGTATGGGATTGGACGGGACGGGATGGGGTTGTGAGGGATTGATAAAAGACGTCTGTGAGTCAGCAGATTGATACAGGATCAACCAGAAGTTCAGAGCAGTTGGGTTTGGGTTTCAAAACGATGAGGATATTGAGTATGTAAAGTCAGCATTTCATGACCTCAAACGCAGTCCGAAAAGTAAAGAGAACTGACACAGTACCCCGAAGATCCAAAGGAGGGTGAAGAGGGACCAAGGTAACAGCGGGGGGGGGGGGAGGGGGGGAGATACAAGGAAGAGCAGGAAAGAGAACCCAGGCTTGCTTTCTTGTTTGCATAGTCTGCAGACGGGCCCAGCAGACACCTGCTCATTAGATGTTCTATCTTACCAATACTTTTGGGCTCTTTGCTTTCTTCCTCAGTTTGTGGAGTTTTTTCTTCTTTCTCTTCCTTTACTGTACCCACATCCTTTTCGTCTGTCTTTTCCTGATCGGTGGCGAAAGCCTTGTCGTCTGTCTCTTCCGGATCAGTTGCTGTTTGCTTGGGAATGACCTCCGGAACTTCCGTTTCCGTTTCTTTAGGAACCGGATCCGGAGGTGCCTCCGTCTCTGGCGCTTTGTCTTCTTTCTCTTCCTTGTCAGTTCCGACTGCCTTGGCGTCCTTTTTGTCTTCCACTGTGGCCGTTTCTTTGGGAACAGTTTCGGGCGTCTCTGTTTGTGGCGACTTGTCGTCCTTTTCTTCCTGGTCAGTAGCGGTCAGTTTGTCAGGCTTTTCCTCAACCTCAGGTTCAGTTGTTTTCGATAGCCTCTCTTCAGCTACCGTGCCTATGTTACAAGATCATTTCAATGTTTAATCATCATTCAATACAATGCCCTATACACATAGTATAGGGCTGGAGCGGCTAATACGCTTAGATGCGCTTTAGGGCATACAGCAAATATCAGCATACACTGTAGTATTATAAACAGTTGTGTGTGCTGAATAAAGTGTACAGGACACTTCAACGCAGGCGTCCGTTTCCAGCAAAGGTGGAAAGACGGATGGGGATGGGGTGGGGTGGATTGGGTGGGACGGGATGGGTTTGTAATGGGATTGATAAAAGAAGTCATCGACTCAGCAGATTGATACAAGATAAACCGGAAATTCAGAAAAAAGTTTTTCTAGAAAAGAAAAGAAAAGTATATTGTAAAGTCGGTATTTCAAGACGAAACCCTAAACAGATCTTAGACCTGACCGAGAAAAGGACTGGATAGAGAACTGACAAAGCATCTCCACGTTCAAGATAATAGTTGAGGGTGGTCAAGGAACAGGGGGGGGGGTACAAGAAGAAGAAGGAAAGAGATCCCAGGCTTGCTTGCATTTTTTATGCAAAGCCTGCTTTTTCATACTGCATATCAAAATGTTATATGCTAACAACACAGCGCCCCCACGATCCAGGGAGGGTTCAATGGGACCAAAATACCAGCTGGGAATGGCAGTAGAGAAATGCCATGCTTTTTTTGTTTGCATAGGCGTATTTCCATACAATTGGCCACGACGAGCCCAGCAGAACACCTGCTCATTAGACATTCTATCTTACCAATACTTTTGGGCTCTTTGCTTTCTTTCTCGGTTTGTGGAGTCTTTTCCTCTTTTTCTTCCTTCACTGTACCCACATCTTTCTTGTCGGTTTTCTCCGGGTCGGTGGCGAAAGCCTTGTCGTCTGTCACTTCCGGATCTGTCGCTGTTTGCTTAGGAATGACCTCCGGAACTTCCGTTTCCGTTTCCTTAGAGACCGGATCCGGAGGTGCCTCCGTCTCAGGCGCTTTGTCTTCTTTCTCCTCCTTGTCAGTTCCGACTGCCTTGGCATCTTTTACGTCTTCCACTGTGGCCGTTTCTTTGGGAAGAGTTTCAGGCGTCTCTGTTTGTGGCGACTTGTCGTCCTTTTCTTCCTGGTCAGTAGCCGTCATTTTGACAGGCTTCTCTTCAACCTCAGGCTCTGTAGCTTTGGGCACCTTTTCTTCTGATATAGTTTCTATTTTGTGAGATTATACAGACGTTTTATACGATGTGAAAATACGTGAAAAGAAAAGAAAAATCTGAAACCAAAAATGCCAGGCTCGAGAAATATTACATCTAACGCTTCTTTGGGACGTTATACATGGTTAAATAATGGGGTTGTCGTATGGGTGAGCTTTGCTTTGCAAATAGCTGAATGTGCCCGACAAAGGTAAAAAAAGAAAGATATCTTCACACAAAACATTACCACCAACAAAATTCTCAAGAAAGCAGATGCGTGCATCTCATTGGGTTTCTTTTTGGAGTGGATCCAGTAAGTAAGACCTGTTGTTATTTGTTTATTTGCCTCCAGGTGGCTCGTTGCGATTGAAAGTCTCCCTGGTCCACAGAGGCAGTAGGTACCATGTTTTCTTCTCCGTTGTCCACTAGGTTGTGGACCATGTCTCAGAGATTCAGTTATAAGCAGCAATTTACCCGTTGTCTTCATTTGAGCGCTTAAGATAAGCTTCTAATTGCAAATGCCATTTACACTCTAGAGGAGGAATACAATAAGAGATATCTGTAGGCATCGCGCCTGAAAAGCTGGAGGTACAAGATAACAAGCAAAGTTAAAATGTACTGAATTTCAACACATGAACACGGTTGATGTACAATATTCTATCAATACTACCTCTGCAGAGAAGACAATTCCTACAAGTTCCTACAAACGAGGACATGGCATCTACGTACGGCTGAAAATTGGCAAGCTCTGGAAAAAGAAGATGGACGACTATAACAATATCTGCGGACGGTAAAAGGATATTAGGTAAAAATACAGGCCATCACATCAGGCCACAGAATATCCCAGCGAAGCACCCAGTTAAAACAGAAGATAGCTTACCAATGCTCTTAGGCTCTTTACTTTCTTCCTCAGTTTCAGTTTCCTTGGGTACCACAACAGCAACTTCTGTCTGTGGAGTTTTATCTTCTTTATCCTCCTTTTCTGTACCCAAATCCTTCACGTCGGTTTTCTCCGGGTCGGTACCGAAGCTCTTGTTGTCTGTCTCTTCTGGATCAGTCGCCGTCTCCTTCGGTAAAGCTTCAGGTACTTCCGTTTCTGTTTCTTTCGGAACCGGATCCGGAGGTGCCTCCGTCTCAGGTGCCTTGTCTTCTTTCTCCTCCTTGTCAGTCCCTAGTGCCTTTGCGTCTTTTTCGTCTTCAACTGTGGCCGTTTCTTTGGGAAGAGTTTCAGGCGTCTCTGTTTGTGGCGACTTGTCGTCCTTTTCTTCCTGGTCAGTAGCGGTCAGTTTGTTTGGTTTTTCTTCAACCTCAGGTTCGGTAGTTTTTGGTACCTTTTCTACTAACTCTGTTCCTATATTGTGGGATTGAAAGTTGTTAAGAGATATGCCATTCTTACCTAGATACTAAAATGAGAATTAACATACGCTTCTGATGTTTGACTCTCCCAACATGATACTGTATGTCATATCTTTTGACGTCGTATGTCGAGTAATGTACAAGGTGTAAAGAAGTAATAATTCTTCTGCAAAATAAACGATGCGTAAACAAATATAACGAAGAAACGAACAATGCATTTGTCCAAGTGGACATAGATAACCATCTACAGGAAGAAGGCCAGACGTTTCAACTCTCACGTCTTACCCCGACACCATTAGACCTAGAATAAGACAAGAGAAAGGCCACTGCAATCATAGTATGCTCAAAGAGTAGGAAGGTAGGAACAGCCTCTGCAAAGAGAGGTTCATACAGGGCATAGAATTGAAGTGAAGATGTGCCACACTTTGAAACGTGGTAAGAAAGGACAAACAAAGAGTGCAACAGTCGCTGTTTCCCAGCAAAAAGTCCAACATTATAGGATGAAAGATTTACACGTGAACCCCGAGGGTGGAGAGCTAACAGTAGCAGAAATTCTGGTCATGAAACTATTGTAGCCGGTATTTGATGTCTGTACATAGGGTGGAACGTAAGTCTATATGCGACGGACAGTAATGCGAACCGTAGGTCGAGACAAGGAGAATTCAACCTTACAAACTTCTATTAAGTATCTAATACTCTGGTTAGTGTCTTTCCCTTGCAATGGCAATGATTAAAAATGAAACAGCAGTAACCGAACACTACTTAGACTCAAGCCCGGAATCCCCTCATCACGTATTTTATAACACAGTCAATGTTGATTAATTACCGGAGAGAGTTTGTCTGTGTAAATATTCCCACGGGTAAAAAATGACAACGAAGGTCACTGTTAAGGTTGTCTGGCAAAACAGAAGCGAGGATACATGTACTTGTAGACTCTAAAACGATAGCTGGAACCTAGTTTACTACTCACCTTTCTCCTTTAAACTTGGTAATAGTTATTGCTTATAGAATAATGTCCTTATTTAAATTACAATGTATACTACATTGACTGTTTAAGAATACATAAACTCCCTGTTCATTTACCGCTAATCATTTTAAAGTGTAAAGTCATGATTGTATGATATCGTACATTTAAGTACTGGAAGTTGTGTCAGCTGCACTGACCTCGAATAAGAAGAAATACAACCAGAAAGCCGTTAGTACAGAAAAAGAATAGGGAACCCCAAGGTTAGTAGTACACATGCTATTAGTAGATGCATCTTAACAGAAACAGCAGAACCGCCCACAGCGATAGGTCCCCTTTGTGTAAAGAACATTGCCTTGCAAGATGTCCAGCATGTGTGCGACAGCAGGTGACTCTTCCAGAGTGACCACTCGAAAAAATGAAGCGTGTGCAGCGCCACCTCAGGTCCTTATGCCAGCCACCAGACAACCGATTCTATCGCCAAAAACTTACCAAGGTCCTTCGCATCCTTTGGGTCGCTGGTGGTAGCGACGTCCTTGTTGTCTGGAGTGTCCTTCTCTGTGCCCAGGTCTTTCTCGTCGGTATCGGCAGGCTCTGTCGCCGTTGCCTTGGCATCCTTTTCTTCAGGATCGGTCGCCGTGTCGACGTTAGAGCTCTCTGGTGGTTCTGTTGACGCCGTCTTCTCGTTCTTAGGATCGCTGTCGGTTTCGGTGTCTTTCTCATCCGTCGATGGCGGCTCTGTCTGTGGTGTCTTTACGTCTTTCTCTTCTGGATCTGTTGAGAGATCCTTCTTGTCGGTTTCTCCCGGGTCGGTTGCCGTCTCTTTTGGTTCCTTCTCAGGACTCTCGGTCTCGGGGTTTCTTTCCTTTTTGTCTTCAGGGTCGGTTGCGAGTTCCTTCGCGTCGGTGTCGGGGGGCTTCTCTGACTCGGGTGGATCTGTAGAAACGTCCTTTGGCTCTGTCTCAGGCGGGTTGGTTTCCGGGTTCTTCTGTTTCTTGTCTTCCGTGTCTGTGGCCAGATCTTTGGCGTCCTTCTCTGTTTCGGGATCCGGTTCGGTTTCCGTCTCTCTTGGTTTCTTTTCCGGAGCATCTGTCTCTGGATTCTTGTCCTCCTTGTCCTCAGTTGCAGGCGGTTCTGTTTCCACTTCTTTATCATCAGGCGGCTCCGGAGAGGTTTCAGGTGTCTTTTCCACCTTTGGAGCCGGATCGTCGGTCTTTAAATCCTTGGCGTCTTTAGTGTCCTCCTCCTTTTCTGGCTCGGTCTCTCTGTCTTTCTTCGGCTCTGGGTCGTCCGTCTTGAGGTCTTTTTCGTCCTTGTCGGCGGGGTCTGTCTCCGGTGCCTTGTCGTCTTTCTCAGGAGGAGTGGTCGCTATACGGAGGAACACACATGTAACAACACGGTACTTCTGATACCTCATTTTCACTGAGGCGGCGACCGTTCAGCGACCAAAAAATTAATTTCATCCATAAGGAAGATTTGGTATGTTTTGTTCAATTTGCTGTCTTCCAAATCCTACTTTTATATCATGTATAACATTTCAGTTATGATGTGGTAGGCGATAAGTCTAATTTTGGTCGCCAACGGCCTCCGTCCAGTAAAAAGAGGCTCTTTATGCCAAAACCTACATCTAGGAGACTGTTATACCATGTATATCGACGTATAGCTATCAAGGATTAACGAAAAATTGATTGTTCTAAATTTGAGCTCTTATTCATAAAACCCTGAACCTTACTTTACCTCATCATTGAGCTTTGATTACAGTTATCATTATAGATTATGGATTTTATGAAGCAATCTTTACACCTTACAACCTTAAATCACCAACATCTAGCCATGTCACACATATAATGATTACCTCTAGTATTTGATGACTAAAGCTTCTATTTAGGTTGAATTGACATATATACAGTGCATACTACCACATTTATACAGTATCATTGCTTGTAAGACAAAATAGTCAAGTCTGAATTTTTCTCGAGTTCCAAGCTGAGCTGTAGGCATTGTCCAAACGACGAAGAAAGCATCTGTAAGCTGCAAATATATGAGCTTGTGAACATTGTATCCGTGGGGGACGAAACACCAAAGCGGATTTTAAAATAAGCAGCAGTTCCCCAGTCATGCTACAGACAAAGACCACCCGAAGACCAAAACTAGTATTGTTTACTACATTAGGTAAAGCCACCATCAGATTTGAGGTTCCCAAACGATGTAACAATGTTAAAAAAGGGAAGCTATCCCAGGGTCACAGGCGAGAAATATCGCAGTGCCGAAGCGACGCAATGTAAGCTTCAATGTGGTCGCTCGATGTGTGTCCTCGCATAATCTGCTCTCCAGCGCCCACCCCTTTTTCATGATAGTTATGCCTTTACTGCACCAACCCCTGCCACGCAATGATAAACCCCAATGAAAACCTCAATAAACCCTCGCATCATCTGCCCTCCAGCGCCCACCCCCTTTGTGGTAGTTCTGCTACCACTATACCAACGCCCAGCCAATATAATATATGCGTAATCATTACAAACACTATGGTATAGCACCAGCATAACAGAACACCTTGTAAGCAAAATCGGAAACATCTCCTCAAGATCTAAGTCGCGCGACGATCAAGAGAGCACCAGGCGTGTTACTGCCGAAAATGTCATATAGAGCTCACTGGCCCATGGTCTAATAGATATTCCTCTGTGTGACAAAGGTATTGTAGTTTCTAGTGAGTGTGGGTACTTACCAAGACTCTTGTCCTCCCCTTCAGAACTCGGCGTTTCCGTGTCTTTATCAGACTTGTTGGCGTCTATGTCCTTCAGGAGGTTCACAAGCTTCTTCTTCAGCTCCAGATTCTCGTCCTCCAGACTGGACAGTTTATCCATGATGTTCGCCATCTTGTCTCCTAGCAAACAATGGCGGGGAAAGGTGACACACATATATATCATTTTAGATTATGTGGTTAATTATTCATGGCGCTTGGGGGCAGTACGCAATATTTTTTTCAGATAAAACATTTGTGTCAGCATCTCAGACATAACCTATAGTGCGCCAAAAAGCAGTTACTCAAGCAACTGGATATGATTTTGAAATCATATCCAGTTTCAAAATCATAAGATTTCAAAATCATATCCAGTTGCTTGAGTAATTGCTTTTTGGTGTATCATATTACCTGGATGTCTGACCTTCATCGACATAACCTATAGTGCTTTGGTTACATTTTCTTAATACAAACAAGAAGCTTATAAGGCAAGAAAGTCCCTAAATGTAGCTGATACAAGCAACACTCATAGTACCAATTAGAACATCACAGTGGTGAACTATGTACATGGTATTACCAAAACAACCAAAATATCAACATGCGACCATACATACGATGATAATGTTTGAACGTCTTGAACAAGGTCGCCTCCAAGAGTGATAAATGATAGAATCGTTTAGACCACCTGGTTTTCTTTGTTTCTACACGGAAAGTAAGATAGACATAACAAGAAAGTTGTCATTGCCTGTGTTCTTCCAATCAGGCAGACTGAAGCAGCTGCTGCTTTGTTTACTCTAACTAGAGCACCGACAAGGACTAATTAACTGTCTGGACAACAGGGATTCGCACAAAGGTACCCGGAAGAGTATCATAGTCAGACTAGGACGGCATACGATTACCTGCAAATTGCTTACTATAGGTACCTGAACAAAACACCTGTGGATACAATTTGGGCTCAGGAATCTTGAAGATCACAATTTTGAAAATTAGGAAAACTTTGTGAATTTTCTTGCTTTCAATTACGCAAATATGAAGATGGCAATCAGCAACTACATGTAGGGGTCGTGTGGCGTAGCGGCAGCGTTCTCGACTCGGAACCAGTGGCCCTGGGTTCGAGTCCTGACATGCCACCGATCTTGTGCCCTTGGGAAAGGCACTTTACACGACTTTCCTCACTTCGCTCAGGTGTAAATGAGTATTGTACTGTCCCTGTGTTGGTGGCGGCTTTAATATAAGTTGAAAAAACTTGAGTGTGCCGTCACCATGTCTTGTGATTACATGTTTCGGAATATATATATAAAAAAAAAACTACATGTAAGCAAAATAATTGGCTACATGTATAACCACATGTATCAAAGATACATAGTATTATATCCTGGAGACAAAACGTTTTCATCAGAACTGATGGTTACATGAACATTTTGCTTTTCAAGCAAACATTATTCAGGACTTCATTAGAGATGCACAGGATACAATGCATTACTAAAAGGAAATTCTTTTCGTTGAATACAAGGACGCATTTTGCTCATTATAATGCTATGCACGTACTAATAAGACATCTTTGTCGTTCTAAGCGTCCCTACATTCAAATCTAGTGGTGTATGTAATACGTACTTGTGACCCTTTATTAAGCCAATTCCTCACGTGTTACCAGGCCAAGTGATCCATACTGATCTTCTATAAAGTAATAATACAGGCTTCAAAGCACCTGCATTTCAGGTAGCAAAAAATCATTCCAGTGGCCAGTTTGCATTCATAATCGGGTATACCAAGTGACGTTCACGAAATGTCAGTTGGACAAACAGATGATTCCTTGTGCACAATAATGTGTACTTGCATGCTCTTCAATACCCAAACAGATGGTATACAGCCAGTACTGTACCATGTACCACCTTTGCGTCATGTACTACCTAGTTTTATCAAAAATCTGTCGTTTCCTGCCGATAGCTACAGTTCACAGACGAATCTATCTAGAATTCACTACTAACAGGTGCCAATATGCCTATAATCTTTTCAACGTAGAAAAAAGCAAGGTTCTCTAACAATGGGGTCTGAGAGAATTCAGCTATGATGGCCTTGAAGATTAAACATTCAAGAACTCAGTGACAACCCCATTCTGTCACTTAACCAATACCATTTAAGAGACTTTGAAGAACAAAGCCGCCCTCTATGACTTCCCTTTTCTGTGAGATCGTTTCCTAATCCTGTCTGGATCAAGTAACATTACCATGATTCATATCCGACCTCGCCCCTTTTCAGCATGAAAAAGTATGTAGACCAGCGCAACACACTTCTTAACTTTGTTGAATACTCCAAACCCTAAGTCTTAAGACATGTAAGCTTTCTTTCGAAAGGAGGACGGAGTCTAAAAACGTTTAAAAGTCTAAAAAAATAAGTCTCAGGTGATTGAAGTAGTGCATGGTGATTGTTTCTGTCAGATTTAAGCACTTCTTACTTAATGTCAATCTTCGAAAACGAAGCCAAGCCAAGAAGAAGACTTAATGTCAACATAAATATCAGGTGAAATGAGAGTCTCTCAAAGTTAAACACACACGTAACAACAAACAGCAAGAAAAAAACAACACTTTATAAGCACTGTTAAGAAGCAGGATATAGCAGGGATAACGACATTATCAGGGGGTGTCGCCATTGCCTTCGGCAGTCCAACACCTACTTTCGTCAAACCCCAGTTAAAAACACAGCTGCATATAGTTATGACAGGTACGTTACAACTACGTACTCTACACCATCTTAACATTCGGAATGGAAAGAAAGCCAAACGAATAAGATTAAGGATGCTAGGCGCTCACCTGTGGTAGTACCTTCCGATTGGCTTCTTGAGATATATTCTTCAGGTACCTCCCCCTTGGGCAAGGTGTCTACGCCTCCTTGTCCGTCTGTCTAATGATTTCAACACAAAAACGTCTGGCTAACTCTGCTTAAGTGTCTCCACTGTCTTGCGACGAAGAACTGAAACAGCTAACAGCCTGACGCTAGTTTTAAACCATTAGAAACTACCTGGCAATGACGGTAAGGTCCGGCGTGCGAAGTGAGCGAGATGTCTCTTGCACGATAGACCTAGGTCGAGCTCGCGACCTCTGGCACTTAAAACCGGTCTATCTAGATGCTTAGGACGCTTGCCCAGTGGTCTGTGTGTGTATGCAGCTTATACGGGTGAAAGTGCTTTCACTTGTATCCCAGAATGCAATTCGGAAAAACACGCCATGTATACATAAATTATTGTGTTGTGTTTAACGTTTAGAAGGTTAGATGATATTTAAATTCAAGTCAAGGCAGTCACTTTTAGTCCTACATTTAGTCTTAGTCGGTAATAAAAAAGCTAAAGTTATCATCAGTAGTGGGAAATCCAACATACACCTATGGTTCCTCTATTTTGCTTTCAGGTCCCCTTATATATCTCTAATGGTATTTGAGGCGATTTCTGGAACTCCAAACTTCAGGAATGTACACTGTTTGTAAGCTATAGCCGTATTCATTGAAGGTGAACAAAATTATGAAAAAGCAGTGCCTGACGTTAGCGTCCTGACCAAAATGACCTCTCATGACACGATATGGGCGTTGCCTCCACCACTCTTCATGCAGATTCGCCTGCGTCAAATAGGCCATCGGCAATGAGTACACACTCTGTGGCATTGTTTAAAACGGGGTGACTGAGTATCGAAACAATATGACTTAACACAACTAACTTCCCTAGTAGGTTTGCTGCATGTGTGCCACAAGTAGTTAAGTGGACGTTTCGACGAAAAACGAGTATAATTGAGACTACATTTGAGTAAAATTACACCATAAGGTAGCCAGAGTTGTCTGAGGCCGTCAATCATGTGGGCTATAATTGACAGCAGGGTAGATGTGTCCCGGGGGTTCAGAACCTGCGTGTCTTCGCCATTATTGTGAGATTATGCACGACCAATTTGAGAACAGAGGCTCAAAACGCTCCGGGCTTGTTTGTTCCGACCGGCTTAAAAGTGAACAACCATGTCTACGATTGGTTAGCTGTACACGCCGATTAAAAAAAGGTATCATGAAAGGTAACGACTGAAAATCCACTGGTGGGTATTGTGACATATGAGTCAGATTCATTGTGCTCACATGCACTTTGATAAAAACCAGACTGTAATCTATTTTACACATAAAAAAATCAACAACAGCATAGTTCTCTTATTGTCAAAGAATCTGTGTGTGTCACTGTGTGGTTATTTTGTACAGGAAAAAAACATAAATTTATAAGAACAAAGAGATTAATGTTTTTATGATGATGAAATGTGTATCTAATAATACTATCTATTCAAGGAAGCTAGAACATGTTTCGACCTTCTTGGTCTATTGTTTTACCCTCGTATGGCGATCTTGTGGTCTCGTGGCTACTGTGTATCTGTACTCCGCTAGATGGCACTGTGCAAAGGGATACAGACCTTAAAAGCACCCAATGCGGTCTTAGGGCTTGGAAACCTGATTTTTCAAAGCCAATATTCTAGTACTATTTAGTTATTTATCTACATACTGAGTTAAAACCACAATATCCTGATGTATATAGAGCAAAAATACCCAACATTCTGACGGAAAATGGTTACTGGGAGGCCCATGATTTTTAGGGTACCACATATAAAATAAAGGACTCACTTTGGGGCTTGTTTCTGCAGTTTTAGATACCCATTGTATGAAATACTGATTGAAATGTACTAATGTGAAGCAATATTACAAATATTGCCTTATTCAGAATATTTCCAGTTTTGCTGCCCTGAAATCACACTGGATGCCTTTAAATGGCCTACACAGACATGGGCACACACTTCTTAGCAACTCATCTTATTAACGACTTCAAAGATCTATAGGGCTACACGAGATTATACCCAGATGATTGTTTCAAATACCATACCGTATCTACACACAGTAGCCCTTTGAAGGTAATTATTCCGCGGCAAACTGAAACAAAGGTGCTTTCTCTCGAGATCACGCAATCCACAAAATTAGTCTGGGTGTAACGCTGGCTGGCCACAGTCCCTTACGGCTCCATCTGTGTCGTTAACATGGCCACGAAAGGCTGGGTTTTTGTCCTGTTCGCCATCATTGCTGCCGAAGCCACAAACACGTCGGCGCCTGGCAGCATAGTCGAGCATGTTCGCACGGAAGGCCTTCGTAATTCCGGCGATAATGGGTGAGTTATATCAGAATTAATCATGTACAACTTATCTGTACCTCGTACGGAATCAGATCGTTGTTCACAACCGTTTTCATACATGAAGTTCCGACATTGGGGTTTTGAAGGAGCAATGTGTGCGTTTGTAAATAAATACTACAACTTTTCTAACTATTCCAACCAAAGACCAAGTCGGTTAACAAAATCAAGGATCTGTTTTTAACCTCCTTCTTCCAACAACAACAACAAAAATACGCGGTGATCATGTTAACTGTGCGCAGTACGAAAATGCCATTTCTTTTCTACCATGATTTCAGGCACACGACTTTCAATGACTACCTTCCTGGTTTTGCTGGTCGCTATCGGAACCTACGAAGCCGGAGGTCCATGGAGCGTCTTCGGCGGTCTGTGGACCTACCGGGCAAGTTAACACCAAAAGGTGAATAATATCAAATAGACTAATAGAAATCTGTTCGTGTGGGGAGAGGGGAAGTGTTCATACTAGAAAATAGTGCCTTCGTGTTGCCAGAAAATTATATTCCTTGCTTGCAATTAGTCAATGACAAAATCCTGTCGGACTGTGATTAGAATAGTAGAAATATGTGTTTGTTACGTGAAAATGGCACCATGGTATTAACTAGGAAACTTTATTTATTGCTTGCAATGTGTCAATGGAAAAAGCATATCTCTAGCAGAACCATTTCACTCGTTACTGTGACTAGTAGAAATTTGTGGGGAGATGCTGATGCGTGAATATGGCACCATCTAACCAGGAAACTTGGATTGTATCAATGACAAAATTTTGTCTCGCTGATGATCGTAGATTGCGGAGAAATCTACCGAAGCTCCAAAGGCGTCATGGATTCTGGAATCTACACCATCTACCCTCGTCAGGCTGGCGGCGAGAGCAACTACAATGCCCGATTTCCTGTGTTCTGCCGCGTGGAGGACGACCGGGCCTGGACCGTCATCCAGAGGCGCCAGGACGGGTCTGTGGACTTCTACAATCGGACCTGGGAGGACTACAGCCGGGGCTTCGGCAACCTGTGGAGGGAGTTCTGGCTCGGGAACGACAAAATCCATCTACTGACAAACCAGGGCGGGTACATTTTGAATGTTAAATTAGAAGTATTTAAAAACTGTGCTTCATGCCCATTCAAGAAGCCCCCAGTTTCTTACATGCAATATGACAGTTTCTCAGTGGAAAATGCGCAGGCACTGTACAAGTTACACCTGGGCTCATATACAGGGACTCGGAGACGCGACTTTCTCCAGTTTCATAATGGTTGGAAATTTGTTCTCAAACCTAGTAACACGATTAATCCACATTCGTCCTGCTTCATGCATAACATGGGAGGGTTTTGGGTCCGTCGTCCGGATACTTTGAACCCGAACGGTTTTTATTATAATAGCGATGGGTCTGACTGCCCGAAGCTATCTCGAAGCAAATGGCCAGGGATTTTGGGGTTCGGCTTCGTGGAGATGAGGATCACAAAAAGTAGTGATTCTATCTGAACAAATGGACAACCATTGGAACCGCCAAAAAATAGTTACTCAAGCAACTGGATATGATTTTTGTCCACTAGCTTTCGTCAGTGACTGAGAGACCAGAGGGAAATGCAGGTTTATAAGCACTACCTATTGATTGATATGCAAATAAAGTGAAGACAAATTTTTGGAAGTCGAAAAAGGAACAAAAGTCAGACAAGTCAAGACAAGATGATGCAAATTAGTCTGAAAGCTCCTGTTAAGCTCCTGTTCTGTACAACAGGAGCTTTCAGACTAATTTGCATCATCTTGTCTTGACTTGTCAGACTTTTGTTCTTTTTTCGACTTCCAAAAATTTGTCTTCACTTCATTTGCATATCAATCAATAGGTAGTGCTTATAAGCCTGCATTTCCCCTCTGGTCTCTCAGTCACTGACGAAAGCTAGTGGATACTAGCTGAAACGTCTGACGTTTTCAAAATCATATCCAGTTGCTTGAGTAACTTATTTTTTGGCGCATCGTATTACCTGGATGTCTAACCTTTATCGACGAACCATTGGAACCTTTTTTAAAGGAATTTTGACCTTTGCGTATTATCCCTGTTTCCGTGTGAAAGACTGACAGGCAAAGTACGAGTATAAGTTACATTTGGGCCCGAATAGTGGAAATACAGTTTGAGAACATATGAAGTCTCGTAATAAAGAGGTATTCATTTTGAAACCATGTAGTAGCCTCTCTAGCTCTGGGGTTTCCTGTTACATATTAAAAATGGGAGTGCTTTAGGAGGGGGGATGTAATGCCTTGAACCCAAATGGTTTCTATTGGAAGAAAGCCGAAGACTGACCCCAAAATCTCTCAAAATAAGAAACGGGGGATTGATAGAATCAAGTTCATTGAGTCTGACAACACAACCCTCAGTACAGAGTTCTGACCTCCCGAAACAAGGTCCAAACGAATGTCGCCCAGGGATAAGAGGGGTACAGGTTTGTCGAGAGGCATGAGGATCTCTGAAAGTAGTAATTCTATCTGAACAAATAAAAAGAAAACACTAGTCTCAGTAAATAAACTAGCAACACTAGTATTGTCAATGTGAAACATTCCGTTCAAATGTGAGTAAAATCCATGTGTTTTTAACACTAGGTTTCTAAATGTTAAGGAAGGAAATACATGTACTACTGTAACAATGATGATGAAATGCGTATTCATTCAATTCATTCAAGGAGGTTCTTGTAGTGCAATTGTATAACGAATTATTCGGATTTTATCATTTCTGACCAGGCGTAAATATATGTAGAAAGTTAGTGCATTCCATGTCAAAAGATGAAACCTAAAATGTACATAGTGTAGGTTGACCATTAACACATACGTGTAAATGTAGCAGAATCAAGCATTAACACATACATGTAAATGTAGCAGAATTAATCTTAATTAAGACCAACATTTATAAGTTAGTGGCAAAGACGCTAAACTGGTTTAAATAACTAAATGAATTCACACGCCAATCTATTCTTTCTATTATAGTAGGAGCTCAGTCTTTGTATAGGGAAATAATGATCTCAATGTTTGTATAGGGAAAATTATCCCAGTGATTGTATGGGGAAATAGTGATCTCAATGATTGTACAGGGAAATAATGATCTCAGTGTTTGTACATGGACATAGTGATCTCAGTGATTGTATAAGGAAAATGGTCCCAGTGATTGTATAGGGAAATAATGATCTCAGTGTTTGTATAAGGAAAATGATCCCAGTGATTGTACATGGACATAGTGATCTCAGTGATTGTATAGGGAAAATGATCCCAGTGATTGTATAGGGAAATAATGATCTCAGTGTTTGTATAAGGAAAATGGTCCCAGTGATTGTATAGGGAAATAATGATCTCAGTGTTGGTATAAGGAAAATGGTCCCAGTGATTGTATAGGGAAATAATGATCTCAGTGTTGGTATAAGGAAAATGGTCCCAGTGATTGTATAGGGAAATAGTGATCTCAGTGTTTGTATAGAGAAAATGATTTCAGTGATTGTATAGGAAAATAATGATCTCAGTGTTTTTACACGGAAATAATGATAACAGTGATTGTAATTAGAAATAATGATCTCAATGTTTGTACAGCAGCGTTAGAAAAACCCACCTGCAGTTTGCATTTTGCAGAAACATTTTGAATATTGCAGAAGAAAAATTAAGAAACCTACAATTTGTCAGACTGGAAAAAATGGTGTTTAAGAGCTTTTGGATTTACTACTAACATTATGATATACAAATAAGTTTGCATGTAAAATGTTAGCAAACATGCAATTTTGTATATGCCGTGGGTTTAGATCTGGACTTTAGAAAAAAATGTGTATTTGTAGAAAGTATTTTCGAATTGCAGAATGAAATTTTGACATTCTGCAATATTGCAGCACACTATAAAAAAGTATTTCTACCACTGTATATGGAAATTATGATCACAGTGTTTGTTTAGGGAAATACTGTAGGTTTCTAAGACTAATGGAGCCTAGTGTAAAGGAAGGGGTTCCTCCGCGGAGGTTAGAACACCCTGGATTGACATTTAAGAATAAAGTGAATAAATGCTACTCTGAAGATGAAATGTTCAGTCGTTTGTTTTTATTTGAACCATGGTTTATTTATGAAAAGCTAACATCAACCTGCATGCCGCTTTTTATTGAAGTCATGAGGGAAGCAGTAAGGTTCAGACAAAATACTCCAAAAAAAAAAAGAAGTAAGAAACTGTTTAACAAATGAAGTGTTTTTTAACAGGTGAATAATGTAGGTTTAAGGAAACAAATACTACTATGATGATGAAATGCGTATCCATTCAAGGAGGTTCTTGTACATTGTAGTGCAATTGCATCTTGTGGTCTCCTAGAAAAAAATACCTAGATACTGTATTGTATCTGTACGCCGTTAGATGACGCTATGCAAAGGGACACTTGCCTCGAGAGGCCTTCATAGACATTAGCACACACTTCTTGCTGTTCGGTATCGACCTTTACAACTCATCGATCTTAATAACGGCGCAAAGATCTCAAGAGCTACTTTATGTAATCCCTATATTGTTTCAAAACACACGTCATCGACGCATAGTCCTTTGAACGTGTTTTTCTCGAGATCAAGCAATCCACAGAATTAGTTTGGGAGTAACGCTAGCTAGTCACAGTCCCTTACGGCTTCACCTGTGTCGTTAGCATGGCCACGAAAAGGCTGGGTTTTTGTCCTGTTCGCCATCATTGCTGCTAAAGCCACCAACACGTCGGCGCCTGGCAGCATAGTCGAGCATGTTGGCATGGAAGGCCTTCGTAATTCTGGCGAAAATGGGTGAGTAATAGCTTATCATGTATTACACAACTGTACCTCGTACGGAATCAGATTGTTGTTCATAATTGATTTCATACATTAAGTTCCGACATTGGGGTTCTCGTATGAGCAATGTGTGTGTTTGTAAATAAATACCTAGAACACATTTTCGAAGTATTCCAACCAAAGACCGAGGGGGTTAGCAAACTTTTTAACCTCCTTTTATACTTAAATGACGTTAACTGTGCGCATGTAAGAAGGGATAATAAATCGTTCTTCCTTTCATGATTTTAGGCACACAACGTTCATCTTCAATGATGATCTTCCTGGTTTTGCTGGCCGGTATTGGAACCTACCAAGCCGGGGGTCCATGGAGCGTTTTCGGCGGTCTATGGACCAACAGAATAATTCTCTCTCAGAAGTCAGGAGCCTACTGGGCAAGATAACAGCCAAAGGTGAATAATACCAAATAGACTAATAGAAAATCTGTTTGTGTGGAGAGAGGGGGAAATTGTTAATACATGCACAAGAAAATGGCGCCTTCGTGTAGCCAGAAAATTTGATTTGATTTATTGAAGTTGCAAACAATACAATACTCGTGGGCCACAGGCAGTGGGGGCTACTGTTGTGGACCACACACAAGACAATTTATACAAAACTTTATTCCTTTCTTACAATTTAGTCAATAACAAAATCCTGTTTAGCTAATCCTTAGCAACGCCATTTTACTTGTAAGTGTAAGTCAGGTAGAAATATGTTTGTGTTACGTGAAAATGGTACAATGCATTTAGCCGGAAAACTTCATATTGCTTGCAATGTGCCAATGACAAAATCATGTCTGGCTGATATCTAGTAAAACCATTTCTGTTAATAGTAGATTGCGGAGAAATCTACCGAAGCTCCAAAGGCGCCATGGAGTCTGGAATCTACACCATCTACCCTCGTCAGTCTGGCGGCGAGAGCAACTACAGTGCACCACTCTCTGTGTAAGAACTTGATTAACACAACATACGTACATGTACAGCGAGTTTTGTAAGGTCTATAACTAGACAGATAGATAGACACGTGGGTACAAAAGAATTGACCTTTCTAAACACTGACAGTAAGGACTCTAAAATGAAATTGAATTTATCTATAGTATCAAATGTAACAAATTCCGCAGAGCAAGCGGAGAGAAGGCTGAACAGCTTTGGCGTTGTACGTAGTGTTACGTAGTGGGCAATCCATTATAAAATGCCGTTCATCTTCAATATCCTTAGGTTCTGCCGTGTGGAGGACGGTCGGGCTTGGACCGTCATCCAGAGGCGCCAGGACGGGTCTGTGGACTTCTACAACCGGACCTGGGAGGACTACAGCCGGGGGCTTCGGCAACCTGTCGGGGGAGTTCTGGCTCGGGAACGACAACATCCATCTACTGACAAACCAGGGCAGGTACATATTGAATGTAGAAGTATCTAAATACTGTACTGCATGCACATTCAAGCCACCTGTTTCTTACATGCAATATGACAAGTTCTCAGTGGAAAATGCGCAGGCGCTGTATAAGTTACACGTGGGCTCATATACAGGGACTCGTGGACTCAACTATCTCCAGAGTCATAATGATGGGAAATTTTTTCTCAAACCTTGTAAGAGGGTTAGTCCAAGTTCGTCCTGCTACGTACACAACATGGGAGGTTTTTGGGTCCGTCGTTGTGACGCTATGAACCCGAATGGGTTTTATTATAATAAAGATGGGACTAACTGCCCGGAACTATCTCGAAACAAATGGCCAGGGATTTTGGGTTTCGGGTTCGTGGAGATGAGAATCTCTGAAAGTAGTAATTCTATCTGAGCAAATGGACAACAATTAACATTTGTCCTTATTTTAGGCATGATTGCATCTTGAATGAACCATCATTTTACGAATGATCTACAACATGTACGTTATTGTAAGCAACCATCGAAATTCAGGCGTGTGCACATATGTCACGGCAAGATATTCTGCTGCTGATATAAATTAGCAAAAACAAAAAAAGATACTACTAAGTAATAAACCAGAGACAATAATATTGTCGATACTGAAATATTTTGTTCAAATGCAAGTAGAATCGTTCTGCAAAACGAATTATTCGATTTCTTTCTATCATTTCTGAATAACTGAAAATATGCTACATGTAGAAGTTGTGGTGCCACGGAATGCGTTTAACACAAAGAATGGCCTCATCTCACCTAAACATTAATATCATGACTATATCCTTATTATGTTATAAGACGAGAAAACCAGATGAGAAATCTCTTGTTGTCAAAGGATCTTGGTGTTTTCACAGAGACATAATGTGTCTTTCTAAGAATAAGGTAAATAAATGCTACTCTGACAATAAAAGTTCAATCTTTCACTTCATTTGTACCATAGTTTATTCTTATTTTGAGCAGTAACATCAACCTGCATGCCGCTTTCAATGAAGTCATGAGGGAAGCAGTAAGAATCAAACAAAACCATGACCACGACTACGAAACTGTTTAACAAATTAAGAAAACGTGTTTTTCTTAACAGGGGAATAATGTATGTTTATAAAAGTAAAGGAAACAACTTCTACTATGATGATTAGATGCGTATCCATTCAATAAGGTAAAATATTATAGTTTAATCTTCTTGTATTGCCATGGCTATCTTGTGACTCTGCCAAACGTCGCTGTGCAAAAGGGACATGGGTCTTGACCGGCCTTGATAGAGAAGAGCACACACTTCTTGCTGTCCGCAAGCTACTGACCTTTACAACTCATTCATCTTCATAACGACGCAAAGATCTATAGAGCCACACGAAGTTATTCGTGGATGATTGTTTCAGAACACCATACCACATCTACATACTAGTAATATATACTCCTTTGAAGGTAATTATTCAGCGGCAAACTGAAACAAAGGTGTTTTCTCTCGAGATCAAGCAATCCACAGAATTAGTCTGGGTGTAACGCTAGCTGGACACAGTCCCTTACGGTCCAATTTGCGTCTTTAACATGGCCACGAAAGGCTGGGTTTTTGTCCTGTTCGCCATCATTGCTGCCGAAGCCACCAACACGTCGGCGCCTGGCAGCACAACCGAGCGTGATGTTTGCATGGAGGGCAATGATGGGTGAGTTTAACTTTATTATACATTTTAGATTAAAAACTGTAACTCTTAAGGAATGAGAACTTTTTCGCCAGCACCTTCATGCAGTGAGTTTGAACACTGTTTTTTTTTTTAATCAGCGATTTGTGTTGTTTGTCAATTAACACTTTAAACACATTTTCGAACTATTCCAACCAAGGGCCTCCTTTTAACCTCCTTATTCTATCAAAACGTGTGAGGCGCTAACGTTATCTCTGCGCAGTAAGAAGGGATGACTAACGCTTCTTCCTTTCATGATTTTAGGCACACAATGTTCATCTTCAATGATGATCTCCCTGGTTTTGCTGGCCGCTATTGGAACCTACCAAGCCGGGGGTCCATGGAGCGTCTTCAGCAGTCTATGGACCAACAGAATAATTCTCTCTCAGAAGTCAGAAACCTACTGGGCAAGTTAACAGCCAAAGGTGAATAATATCAAACAGATTATAGTAGAAATCTGTGTGGGAAGAGGGGAAGTGCCAATACTAGAAAATGGCGTGTAGATAGAAAACTTTATTCCGTGCTTGCAATTAGTCAATGACAAACTGATCCTTATGCTGGGGTCACAATTCTCATACGGGGCCCGACCGGGCAGCTTTTGGGAACGAAAAGTACGATACAAAAGACAACAAAACATCGAAAAGTTCTTAATAATAATCATGGGCTCTATTTCTCTATATTCTTGATAAGAATAGTTAATTTTTCGTTTGTACAAACAGCCCGTCCGGGCCCCGGTTTGGAAATGTTACCTAAGCATAAGCAACGCCATTTCACTTGTTACTGTAAACAGACTAGTAGAAATTTGTGTAAGAATATGTATTACTAAGTGAAAATGTCACAATGGCATTAACCAGTTAACTTGCAATGTGCAACTTCCTAGCAATGTGTTAGTGAAAAAAGGTTTGTCTCAAGGATCTCTATCAAAACTATTTCACTTGTTACGTAGATTGTGGAGAAATCTACCGAAGCTCCAAAGACGGCATGGATTCTGGACTCTACACCATCTACCCTCGTTCAGCGGGCGGAGAGTTCAACAGCAGCGCCTCGCTCCGAGTGTAAGAACTTTATTGACACAACTCAAGTAACGTTACAGCTGCAGCTGCGATTTTTGTAAGGTCTATAACTAGATAAACAGACACACAGACAGGAATTGAACTTGCTAAGCATTCTTTGGCAGTAAGGGACCAACTCCCTCGGCATATGCATGTTATCTCAGAGTCTCTATTTTGCCAATTTCTGCTCTTTCCAGTCGTGTCCCGATGCCTGGTAGAGGCTAGAAGGTCCATTTCCTTGCGGAGCATAAGGGCGGTGCCCATCTCCATTTCTGTAGCCCTTGCGCCACAAAGTTGAGCAAGCACTACAGCAGGGGGCTAGTGACCTTCCCTACTCTTTCTTATAGTACTACTAAACAGAGAAATAGTATATATATTATGTCTTATGTATATATATGTCTTTTTTAAAGTCCTTGGTGTGACCTGGTCGGGGTCTTTTTTTTTTATTCAGCATACAGTAAACAAAATTAGGGTACAGGACACAGTGACGACGGGCTCAAGTTACGTAACTTATGTTAGCGCCGCCACTTATACGAATAAAACTAATATTACTAAACAATACAAAACACCAACGAAGAATACACGTGAAAGAAAAACACAAACAGTCGGAGTCTGAACTCACGACCTAACGGTTACCAGCAATTGAGCCCGATTGAGCTATTGCACAGGTTCTGGTAAAGGCCAGGCAATCCATGAAAAAAGTACCGCTCATCTTCAATCTCCTTAGGTTCTGCCGTGTGGAGGACGGCCGGGCTTGGACCGTCATCCAGAGACGCCAGGACGGGTCGGTGTCGTTCTACAACCGGACCTGGGAGGACTACAGCCGGGGGTTCGGCAACCTGTCCGGAGAATTCTGGCTCGGGAATGACAACATCCATCTACTTACAAACCAGGGCAGGTACATGTTGAATGTTAAATTAGAAGTATCTAAATACTGTACTAAAAGCCCATTCAAGTTGCCGGTTTCTTACATGCAATATGACAAGTTCTCAGTGGAAAATGCGCAGGCAATGTATAAGTTACACCTCGGCTCATATACAGGGACTCGTGGATGCGACTTTCTCCAGTTTCAGAATGGTTGGAAATTTGTTCCTAAACCTGGTAACCCGCTAAATCCACGTTCGTCCTGCTACTTGCATAACATGGGAGGGTTTTGGGTCCGTCGTCCGGATACTTTGAACCCGAACGGTTTTTATTACAATAAAGATGGGTCTGATTGCCCGAAATTATCTCGAAACAAATGGCCAGGGATTTTGGGGTTCGGGTTCGTGGAGATGAGGATCTCTGAACGTAGTAATTCTATCTGAACAAATGGACAACCATTAACATTTGTCCTTATTATGTTTACCGAAGGAAAACATGTTGTTTTTACTCAGTTTCTTCCTCCTCTTCTGTTCCAAACACTAACCTCTCATCCGACCAATGACATGATTTGTTGACGTCTGTCACCATGGTGACTGGTGTTGGGTTACATAAGGTTGCAATGTCGGGTCTGCTCTGCTCCTGTCACAATATACTAGTAGTACATGTATCTGAATGTGTTTGAGTAAAAAATTTACAGGGCAGGCCAACATCATGCATTTGCTTTGCAAATGTTACTTTAGTTTTAGGCATGATTTCATCTTGTATGAACGATCATTTTACGAATTAATTGATGATCTACGTTATTGTAAGCAAGCATCGGAATTCAGCCTTGTAAGTCACGGCTGTCAGTTATGCTGTTGCTGATATAATAAGGTAAAAAAGAGATGAATAATAACCTAGCAACAATAATATTGTCGATACTGAAACTTTTTTGAAATATAATTAGAATCGTTCTGCAAAACGAATTATTTGGATTCTATAGTTTCTGACCAGGTGTAAATATCCTATTTGTAGAAGTGGAAGACGTGCGAAGTGTAAAGGAACATGCGTTTGACAAAGAATGGCCTCAATTTACCTTAACATTTAACGCATTCATATGGAATATACAACGATTTTTGCAGTAATAAGACAAGAAAAACAGAGTAAAAATCTCGTATCGTCAAAGGATCTCGAAGGGAAATAAAGTAAGTTTCTGAGAATAAAGTAAATAAATGCTACGCTGATGATAAAAGTTTCAATCTTTTGTTTCATTTGTACCATACTTTATTCATGAGCAGCTAACATCAACCTGCATGCCGCTTTTTATTGAAGTTACGAAGGAATTAAGGGTTAAGGACAATATACCAAAGATACAGATAACATCATTTAAAGCCCTAATAAATCTACACCACATATTTTTACACATACATGGTACAAAATACTTACATTAAGATATGATTTGAAGCTAATTATCCCATAAACCACATATTTCTTTACACATACATAGTCATAGTACAAAATACAGTGGAAGCTGGTATATTATTTTTTATTTCTGTTACTGTAAGTTTCAAAAAGCAGATTAAAACTTTTAAAAAATCTTGTTGATGAATGGTATTGCGATCATATCACGAAATGGTTGTCTCTACGTGTATCTAAACTATGCTGGTGGACACTATGCAAAGAGATCCAGACCCTCGACAGCATTGATAGATATGAGCACATACTTCTTGCTGCCCGGTAGCGACCTTCTGTAGCGATTGTACCGAGGTCGGGCAATGAACTCATTCAGCTTAATATGGATGTTAAGATCTTAAGACCAACACAAGGCCGCTCCTGTTTCAAAACACCAGATTACATCGATGTATGGTCGTATGTATTTACACATATAAATGGTACAGAATACTTACAGTGGTATATTATTTCTGGTATATTATTTCTGATTTATGTTACTGTAAGAGTTTCTAAAAGCAGGCTAAAACGTTTTAAAACCTTCTTGATGTATTGTAGTACCATCATATCACAAACCCGTGGTCTCTACATGAATGTACGCGTATCTGTAGCCTCTACCAGGTTTCGGGGGGCGACTGGAAAGAGTTGAAATCGGCCAAATAGAGAGATAGCATGCCAAGGGTGTTTTTTTTGGCTGGAGAGAACAGTATGCTTCCAAAGTCTGAGCTTCCGTTGTTTCTGTTGGCATCAACTTAAACATGTCCGACTGACACCAGAGGAAGCAAACAGCATTGGCATGTTAGCTCTCTATTTGGCTGATTTCTACTCTTTCCAGCCGCCTCCCGAAGCCTGGTAGAGTAGTGTACTAGTATCTGTACTCTGCTGGATGGTGCTGTGGGATAGGGATAGGGACTTTGACCAGCCTTGACAGAAATAAGCTGTCCGTTAGCAACCTTCTTCATCTTAATATTAAACAGTATTAAGATCTAAAGACTTACTCAAGGTTGTTCGTGGATGATTGTTTCAAAACATATCGGCATGTGGTGTTTTGAAGCTGAGTAACTTGCGGCAAAATAAAACAACGTTTTATCTCTAGGTAAAGCAATTAGCAGAATCATTCTGGGTGCAGAGCTAGCTGAATCTTTAACAAATGTTCTAGTAAAAATACAAAGTATATTCCACTCACAGGCAAACTTTGGTCTGCTATGTATCATAAGCCACAGGTGTGACAAGCTACCCTGCCAGCTTTAACCACGCTTGTAGAAACAAACGCTAATCGCTAGAAAGTTTGTACATGAGTCTATTTCATACCTATCTTAATTATAATGCACAAAATGTAGTAGAAAGGACTGATAATATAATGGAATATAAGGAACATTTATCAGCCACTATGTGGCAAAATTGTTACATCACAACTACGGTATTTACAACTCCATTAAGTCTTTATCAATGCTTTGAGCAAGATAGCACTCTCACCAAGATATACCCTTAATTGGAAATTAAAATTTTTATTCCAACACAAGGGATTATAGAGCTTTAGACTGGTCACTCTAGTCTTAGTCGATAGACTGACCCAGTGAGACTTGTCACGTGGCTTCTCTGAAATGTGACGTCAACACTGGGTCAAAGGTATCTGGCCCTGATGTGAATAGCCTCTTTCACCCCTCTCAGAATGTACTCTGACTTGTTTCATTTACCAGATACTTTTGAGCCAGTGTTGACGTCACTTCACTTCAGAGAAGCCATGTTACAAGTCTCACAATCTCTAGTTAGGAACAATCCCTTGTGTTGAAACAAAAGTTTAAAGTTTTAACATGTCACTACCAACATGATCATATCCCTAGTCATAGATCTTGTTCTTGTTCTTGGTTGTGGAGCGTCTGACGAACACCCCGCCGCTGTCTGCGTTCGACCGCTTCTTGTTCTTCTTCTTCTTGGTCTGACGGACTGGCTCGTCATCACTCTGTGGAACAGGAAATCAGAGATTTCAGACTTCTTGGGAGTACCATTAACTTTGCCTTCACAGTTGCAAGATTTCATGGTCTGAGGAAAATGGACATGTTCACAGAACTTCATCTTCAGGGTGGCAGCAAAGGGGGGAAAGTGGGGAAAAAGACGAATAATTTTATGAGGAGTTTAAGGTATGGAAGTGAGCAAGAAAACAGTGGACTTAAAACTATCATGAACAAAAAAATCAGGAATTACAGTATGCAATCCACAGCTTCTTGAATTCAATCCTTGGTTGATACGATAACCCTGGTACATGAAGGCATGACTACCCCTATTTTATAGCTTTTTAGATAATACTGAGCAGGTATTAGATACTTAGCCACTGATACGTCATAGATCTTGTCCTTAAACATAAGCAGGTGACCCACCACGACGCTGCAGGCCCGTTCCAGTTCCTCGTTGAGATGAGCGACCTCAGCGCGATACTCATCCAGCTGTCCCTCCATCTTCTCCCGCCGCAGCCGCTCGTACTCAAGCTGCTGGTCAAGCTCACGGATCGTCCTGGGTTTAACACCATGCAACAACTAGTTAACTATACATTAGTCCCCACTCCCCAGTAACACATCTTATGATCATAACAGAAGAAAATAGAGATTTCAGTCCTTCAGGAAATGTTCTGAGTGCATGCCTGTAAAAGTATTGGAACTGTGTTGGATATTAATGGAGAAATACTCCATTGAATTACATACATTGTAATTAGACCATGTGCCAGGAAGTTAATAAACACCATATCGTCCACCGTCTCTGTTTAGTGTGGCACATTTGATCAATGGCTAATGTGACGTATCTGTAAAGTCTCCTGTGAATAAGGTCACATGTATGTAACTCTCATGGGTTTACATTGGGAAGTGGTCATTAATTTAGGCGACAAAAGGCAACAGTGGTCGTTAAAAATTTGATTCACATGTACCCTTTGTGTTGGAATAAAGTTTAGCCTCGTACTATGACCAATACCAACACAGATGAACTACATGTACCATGACAACTAGCACATTGTTTGGACCTTGGAATCTGTGATGCTCATGTACCTGTCTGTCTCCTTCTCTTCCTTCTCCTTCTCCCTGTCCTCGTCCAGACGCCCGCCCAGCTGCCTGTAGTTCATCTTGGCGATCTCCAGGAGGCGCTCCAGCTCCTCTACCTTCTTCCAGGCTCGAGCTGCGAGGAGAAAAATCTGTTTCAATCTTCAGATTTCCATAAATGTGTCAGTTCTTTTAGTCTTTTTAGTGACTTAATACTTGAGTTGGTGGTGCCAATCAGGCAATTTTTGAGTGGGGTTTCATAGAGTTTTCCTTCTTTGAGTTGAGCCTTAAGGTAACAGTGGGAAGGTCCGTAAACAAAAGGAAATGGCTTGCCACCTACAAAATGTAAAACTCTGCCTTGTCTCCCAAAGACCTGGTCGGTCATGGAGCTAGGTAGGTTGGTAGGTAAATGTATGTGTATGTGGTTGTAGATGTTTGTGTTTGTTTGAATAACACTTACTCTTGCAGAATATTGTAATTTGGTGTCATATACATTAAGCACTTTGAAATTTGAGTGCTAGTATCACTCAAGCTATTCAAATTAAGTGTTGTGCAATGCATTCAACAATGTTTCTCCCTCTCACAAAAGATGTCCACAATTTGACCTTGAGATGACCTTACCCCTTGCCTCCTTGACCTTCCTCTGCGGCATGTTGATGGGGTTGTCAGTGCTGCCCACCACAGCTGGGTACTCCTGCTCCTCATGCTCATCATCATCCGTGTCTGAAATATACACAGTATGAAAGTTCCATGTAAGCAAGGGAGAAAAAGTTTTCTTTGAAAGTTGGATGGCAGTCCTTATAATATATGTGTGTGAGGTGTGGCTCTCCTAATACATGGGACCTCTAGCTTTACATCCAACCTGAGAGGACGTCTAAAAGTTAAGGTACACATTTCCATCTGAGTCAAGTGAAGTGAAAAGTACCTATTACAAGGGCACAACATTAGGGCTGGGGATTCGAACCAAGAACCTTTACATTCTAAATCAACATGGCTAACAACAACACCACCTTGCAACCTGAGACCTTCTTGCCACCTAGCAAGGTGTTACTGAATCACCCCCTCCAACCCTTCTGTACTCACCTCCCCCTGGAGCATCTGGATCTCCCCCCAGCAGCTTCACACAGGCCAGCTGACCAAACCGGGCGGCAACGTCACGCGCCGTCTCACCGGCAGTATTCACAATGTGGACTGCAAGGGAATAGAGGAAACATAACTCATTAATATTACTTTACTTTATTCTTTATTTCAGGCGCAATTGGCCCATAGTAGACAAACAATTAAAATAACAAGGTGCACACATAGTAAAAACGGTAGGGTTCGGTACATATACAAACGAGAAGGGCCTTATCGGTAGACTAGGCCGATATAGTGATCCCAGTAGTGACTGGTGGATGATTTGTCTGAGTGGATTGCGAGTTTTATGATTCTGTTATTACTGTTGAGGAGCCGTATATACAGTCAACCTTACCCAAGTTACCACTAGCATGTAAGCATGACCTGGCTGTCCAACATGACCATAACTGGCACTATATAAGACACACATGGGTGAGTGTCAACATGTTATATGCAAGTATTGAGGGGTTAAGAAATGTATCAATCATTAGCCTTACAAAATGTTTTACTTACCGTTTGCACCCATCTCCACCAGCCACTGCAGACACTCAATATGGCCCTGGCCAGCAGCTGTATTAAAAAAAGTTTAAACACTGGTTAATCAGTTAATTAGAAGAACAGAACTTCTTATTATAATAAGTCATTTTTGCTTTAATTTAAATTAGATAAATTATTGAATTACCGGTAGTTTCACTTACATTTTACATATTGACAACAGTTTTGAAAAGTTGTACCTTAGAAAGGTACCTTAGTTAGGCTTAGAAAATACCAAATTGGCCACAACTCTTGTGAATCAATTTGTTAACAATGTAATATTTTTACTTAATGTAAATTGTAATGTATACTTGCATATTTTCACAACAGATTAAAGCAAGTAGTGGCATACATATAACAAGTAATTTGGACTGAACCATTACCTTTGTGTGCAGGGGTGGCGCCCTTGTCGTCCCTCTCGTTGATGTTGACCACGCCCTGTTCTATCAGCATGCGCAGGTGGCCCAGGTCTCCGTTATAGGCTGCCACATGGGCGGGGAAGGCCAGGTCTGGGGACAGCAGGCAGTAACAATGTTACTTATATTTCTGACACACATTCTCACTCACACTCTAACTATCTGGTTTAGTGTCTCCATCTGTCATCTAAAATTATTGATGCATTTTGTATGTTTCATTTAATTTGAAAGAAAAGGTGATGAAATACATGAAATTCATTAAACAGAAGATGGTTAATCTGACTCGGATAAAATTTGAAATTGTAAATAGGGGGTATTGATCATTTATACGGATCCATCTGTGACCTAAAACATACCTTTAACATAGCATAAGATAACATAACACTCTCTGGTCAATTTTTATCTTTACTCACTTTCTTGGTCTTCTGGATGATCTCTGTCCCACTCTGAAAACAACAAATGGTGCAGTGTCAGCATTCCAAACATAAACAGCTCAAAAGCTCCACCTTTCAATCCTTCGAGGAACTACAGCCAAGACGCAATAAATGTCAGACTAGACTGCTTGCCTGACAATGTCAAAGTACTGATAGTAAAGAAGTTAACAATTGAATGTGTTGGTCATAGTTTGAGATCATAGCATTGTGTAACTTGTAGTTAATAAAAAGTATATACCCTTATGTATGTATGTATTAAAGAACATACAATTCAGCCTGTGGGCTGCCAGTTATTCACTTGTAATTAATCAAACCCGTAAACATACTTAATCTTAGACAAATTACCCACCGACAGCGTTGAGATAGTCCACACAAGCCTCCTTGTAGAACTGTGAGGACAGTGTTTTGGGCGTCTCTCCGTGATCGTTGCGAGCGTTCATGGTGTGGGTGATGCTGGGGCCGTTACACACCAGGAACTTCAGACACGGCAGGTGGCCCTCCATGGAGGCAAGGTGAGCTGGAGGGATGGAATAATGATGTAAATCATGAAATGTTGCACTGGTTTTTTTTTTAGGTTTTGAGGTCATCTCTATTCGCAAAATAATGACACTGCAAATCATGACACCATGTTTTGTTGTTCAACAGTAACTGTAGTACAGAATTGTTTCAACTGTGAATTGCAAACACTGCTATATCCTATCATGAAATACAACCACCATAGAAGCAGGTGCATGTACAGTAGGTTTTGGTTTTGCATCTTGAAACATTAAATTCCATTACGGCTTGTCAAACGACCTTTTTTAGCAAAAAAATATTGGAATTCTAGCATTGTAAAACATTGATCAAAACACTTCAGCCAAAACATTGAACAAAACATAACCAACATTTTCATTATAATACAGTTTACAGTATCATAAAACTTAGGTTAAGTAACATTGCAGTATATTCTGCTGAATGTCAGCATTCAAACTCAGATCAACAGTGCCACCTCTCAACCCTTGCAGGAACTGCATATGCTACAGACAATGTATATATGACAATGTATTTTATGTGTCCTTACCAGGTAGGTTGCCAGCGTTGTCCACATCGTCCAGCCCACAGCCCCACTTGACCAGCAGCTGCAGACAGCCCAGCCTGCCGTGGTAGGCAGCCGCGTGCACGGGCAGCCAGCCGTTAGAGTCCTGGGTGTTTACTTCCTGTAAATGTAAACAACAGGTTTATTACGCAGCCGCGTGCACGGGCAGCCAGCCGTTAGCGTCCTGGGTGTTTACCTCCTGTAGAGGGCGACATCAGGCTTGTTTATTTGTTATAGGATAATAGGATATCATAAAATTACAATGCAATGGTCAAAATTGACAGAATACATGTACCGGTAACCCTGGCATGTTCTGTCAGGAAATTTAGGCAACACAAACTAGATAAAAGCACAATAAAATAACTGTATTTCCAGGCACATGGCAAAGTGGCAGCACCTTGCTATATTACACTGGACCTTTGCACATCTAACTGACATTGTTTAAAACTCTCTAGTGATGATGCCCCTACTCACAGTACTTGGTGCCAATAGCTCTAAGGAAAAACAATGTACCTTTGGAACACATCAATCTTTGTGTCATAACTCTGGTACTTGAAGGCATAACTATATTTTTCTTGTCCTTTTCTGAGCTGGTATTAGGTCCTTACTAGCTGGTTTTTATTGTCCACCAGTTTACTAGTCATAGCAACAGAATCCTAAATCTCACCACTCCACTCCTGAGAATAGACTGCAGAGTGAAGGAGTGTCCGTGTGCTGCTGCCAGGTGGGCACAGGTCTGACCTCGGTTGTCTTTAGCTGTCAGGTTAGCTCCACTGGTGGCAAGGGCCTGGAAGTCAGACAAGGTGGTGATAAACTTGATATAATTTTATATACACATGTACATGAAAGAAGTCATATGCTCTCTGTAATAACAAAGCATTGTAAACAAGACCTCTGACCATCCTCCCTTGAGTTGAACTCTTGAAAAGAGGCTAAGGTTGAATCTTCATGAATGTATAAAACGATGTGGTTAATGGTAATGATAAGTTCACAGTAAAGAAGTGGCCTTGAATATATAGTAAATAGTCGTGTGAAAAATCTGGAATTACAGTGCTCCTGCACTTAAGTTACACAGTAACTTTTCAATACAGTTATCAGTAGTGTATATGTGGCTGTTATGACATGTTGCTTGGCCACAGAAATATGATTCTGAGTGTACCTGCAGAAATTGTCCTCAAGTACAAAAAGTTAAGTGATTAATAAGTTATAGAGACTATAAGTGACTGTTATGACATGTTGCCTGGCCACAAAAGTATGATTTTGAGTGTACCTGCAGACAAGAGTCCTGCCCCCTGATGGCAGCGAATTTGATACTGTTATCAGTATGGTATAGAACTTGTGAAGACCCCTGTGTTCGGGACCCACTTAGCAGAATAACCATAGCCTGGATAGTGAGTGTGAGACAGGTGTATATGGCTGTTGTTTGTATACAGTTGCTTGGTCACAGAAGTATGAATCTACCTGCAGACAAGCGTCCTGCCCCCTGATGGCAGCGATGTGCGCTGCAGTCCACCCCTGCGGAGACGTGTCAGTGGTATCAGCCCGGTGCCATAGCAACCAGTGTAAACACTGTGGACACATGTGAAAACATTCATTATTAATCCAATAGAATCATATACTATTAGGGAGTCCTGCATGCACTTTTTCACACTTTTTCTTAAGACATAATCAGTCCTTTCAAATCTTTGTAATTTGTAGGCAGCCACCCAAAATCAATGTACTTCAAGCCTCATAATTTGGCATAATTTGTAATCACTACCCACCATGCAGTCCCTCTAGTAATTCTAGGAGGATCAAACCTTACAGTCTTGTCTTACACAGCTTGTACATACTGTTCAAAACTGATGTGTTATGTCAGTTTATCAGTTATGCAAATACAGATAAACCAGCTAGAAACACAAAACACATACTTGTGGTGTAGTGATTTTGGGTTAAGAAATTGAGAGGAGAATGCAAAAACATTGAAAGTAAAACCACTGCATGCGAATATACAGTGATTAGAAGATGACAGGCTCAAGTCAAGATGATCAACTGTTAGATCTATCAACATTATGGACAAATACTTGAAATAGGGAAACAACACAAGCTTGTTTACCTCCAGACTGCCTGTGTGAGCTGCCCACATGAGTGGAGTAAACTTGTCCTTACAGGTCAGGTCCACCTCATTGATACTGGCGCCCTGTTTCACCATGGCCTGTAGCTCCTCCACATCAGCATTTATCACAGCCTCGTGGATACTCTTAAACCGCAACTTGGTCCTGTTGGCTGGGGGGAAAAAACACAGGATCAGTGATGGCAGACTTCACCTCTTTACCCATAATGATCTCTCATCATCATCCTATTTCAACATCGCCTGAAGCTGTAGTCCACATCAGCGTTTATCACAGCCTCGTGGATACTCTTAAACCGCAACTTGGTCCTGTTGGCTGTGGGAGAAAAGAAGGCAATCAGTGACAGCAAACACTAGGAGCAAGAAAACCGAATCAAATCGAATCCGCAACAAACCCGGGCAGCCAGATCACAACCCCAACATGCTAACTGTTTGGCCAAAAGGTCCAGGACCAATGGACTGGGTCAGATAGTGGCACCTGTACTCCACTGTTATACTTCTATACTTCATCATTCAAGTCCCTTGATACCTTGATGTGAAGTTGATGATTTAATTCAATTTATACTAAGTCAAGCTGGAAACACTCTGCTATTTTTAATACAATTTCAAACATGTTATGAAATTAACACTGGCAAAAGGCAAAGCAAGTGAGACAAAGTGGATATAACCAAGGAGCTTCGAATATTTGATATGACATGTATTTTGCCAAGTGCAAGCTTAGACGTTTTAAACGTAAACTATGCTTCATAAAACACAAATTTCTTCCTACCAATGCTGTATGATTGCTTCAAAATCTACATATATGAAGTACCAACACGAAAAGTAATGAATTTGATATGTGGATCGACTGTTAATCGTACAATCTCACTATGAAACAGTTTTTCATTCATAGTCGTGGGGAGGGGGGCGATAGGCGGAGTCCTTGGTTACGGTTGTTATGGTTTGTTTTGGCGACAATTCTGTCCTTATTTCTACACCTACATTGCAGAAAACACATCCAAATCACATTTGAAAATCACGAAATACGTTTATACGTAGTATTTTGTCCATTGTTATCTAAAATCTAAGTGAATTTTAGACATATTTGCGAGTATAACTTACCAGGCATCTTCGCTGCTTGGAAACTCCAGTCTCTACGCGCGCATGCGTACTGCGATGCGTAGGCGTGTATAAAGGTCAAAGGTTAGGGTTCAGTAGAGTTTGTCTCTTCCTGGTTTGTTTGCAGTCGGAAACGCACAGTTTTGAGAGAAAAGAGACGCGTTTTGCGGACTAGATGTATGTTATGGACGTTTAACAAATCGGACAACCCTTTGGACATTAGTTTTCATTGACAGGGATTCGTGCAGGTAAGATTTTGACTGTTTTCGACACAGTATCCGTACACAAACACATTCAAGTCTAGCCGTGGACGACTCTGGTACACCTTTTTGCATGATAATGCCGGTTGGTTTTGGCCTATGGAGCTTTCCACGACTCTGTCACGGGCATTATCATGCAAAAAGGTGTACCAGAGTCGTCCACGGCTAATGCAAGTCATAATCTCATATACTAGCCTGGTTGCCAGAGACCCATATAGCACACTGGACACAAAGTATCTCAGTGAGCATTGTGTCCAGTGTGCTAAAGAGTTTGGCACCCAGGCTATTATCATACTCAAGAAGGGGTTTCAAACTACAGATTTTAGCATGCTAAATTTATGATTTTGTGTAATGTAAAGGTGAGATTTAGTAAATCTGTATCTTCTGAGTAAAGTACTTATTTCAGAATGAAAATTGGAGGATGCTTTGTTGAGATATAATGTTAGGAGGTAGTTTCAGGAATATACTGTACATGTCAAGTAAAACTAAAACCAAACAAAACCAAGGTATTGAACACATTTGAAAATGACAGCCAGTGTTGCAGTTTAGGACATCACAGGAAAATGATAATAGATATCGTTAATCAGTTATCAAAAATGTTGGTCCAGCCAGAGATACAGCCAAGAAGATCTCCAGTCCAGACCTAAAGCACATCAGAAGACTGTACCATGTCAGCAGGGACAGTCTGGCTGGTTCTATCCCTGCTGCGTGTGGCCTGGGTCCTCCTGCCTCAGTCTGGGTATATACATCCCGATGAGTTCTTCCAGTCATCTGAGGTCATGGCAGGTTAGGACAGCACCATTAGAGTCATAAAATGTTATTACCTTCACCAAGAAGGTTACGCTTTTGGTAGTTTTTATGTGCATGTACATGTGTGTGTAACTGTTAAGTGGTTTACATGATAAAGTGGATGGCTTCTTGTAATGTATAGATGTGTAGGTATTGATGGGACTTCCAAACATTTAGATTTTGGGCCCCCTGGTGTAATTGGGACTTGTTAATTTGGTTCTGTTGTGCAACCTCTAGTTTTGATATCTTTTGATCTGGACATGCTGGTTTATGATGTAAATGTAGTACTACATGTAAATTAATTCACAGTAACCAGTATGGTACCAAGGATGCTTTTGTGTTGCAATAATCTTTACTGATCAACCAACAATGTTTTTTTCTTATCTGTATTTACAGGAAGAGTGTTAGACTACAAGGTACACCTGACATGGGAGTGGAGCGAAGATTTCCCGGCTCGATCACCGGTGTTCCCTTTCCTCACTTCAGGAATACCTTTCCTTGTGCTTAAGGCCATGAACCAACTAGGTCTCCTCCCAGATTCCATCGGAGCATACGCTCTACTGGTCGCGCCAAGACTGTGGACAACGATTCTTTCCTTCTGCATAGATTTCTGTCTGTATAAGATCTGTAACAGTGTCAAGACAAAGTGGATGGGTGTGGAGCTGGATGCGTTCAGATGCATGGCAGTGTTTTCAGCGTCTTATGTGACACTTGTCTTCTTCACTCGAACATTCTCCAACATTCTTGAAACTGTCCTTTTTGTGGTCATTATCGGACTTGTTATTGACTCAATGAAAGGCAGCAACCCAGAAAATAGCCAAAGCGAGAATCGGTCTGATGTAGTCGATGGCCAATATCTGTCTAAATCTCATTCAGTCCTATTGTCAGTACTGATTGTGGTAGGGTTTTTCAATCGACCAAATTTTCCTGCATTTGCATTCCTGCCAATGTTGTATTGGGCATTGTATCCAATCAACCCAAACAAAGGCTTGTGGCTCAAAAATGCAATTCTAAGAGGGTTACGACTAGTCCCAGGAGCGATAGTGACGTTTGCAGTCTTTGTTGTCTGTGACTCTATCTACTTCGGCTCTCTTGACTTCCACTCTGTATCATTGGACAGGTTCCTGCATTCTCCTTCTGGGCTTCTGAGGAATCTTACTGTCACGCCTTTGAACTTGCTGAGTTACAACTTTGACAAGTCGAAGCTGGAACAACACGGGCTGCATCCAAGAGTGACTCATCTCTTTGTCAACACTCCCCTTCTGTTTGGTGTGTTAGCTTTTCTAGCCTTCACAGATGTCCCCCATCTTATTATGACGATTCTTACTCACTTTAAACATAATGAAAACACAACAGAAACAGTGGACAGAGGCAGGTCTAGTAGTAAGAAAGAAACAAGGCAGAAAAACAATGAACTGAAAACTAAAGGGGTGCAGAAGAGTGAAGGACTTGACATAGAGATGTTCTTCCTTCTATGCTATTTTGTTCCAATTTTCATCATGTCATTAGTAGCCCATCATGAGCCAAGATACATTTCCCCCTGCCTTGTCCCTCTAGTGTTGGCCTATCACAGCAAGTTTACATGGAAAGGTGGCAAGAAGTTGCTTTTCGTTGGGTTTGTAGTCGGCAATGTTTTGGGTGGTGTTTTGTTTGGGGTTCTGCATCAAGGTGGGGTAGTGCCATCCTTGCTACACTTACACAATCTAGTGCACCAGAAACAAAGTACTGAAACAGTTCACATCACTTACTTCCACACGTACATTCCTCCTGGGCATCTGCTTGGCATCAATGGCAACCAAACAGCCAATCAGAACTTTCGCATGTCACACAAGGTGACCAATGACAGAGTAGAACCACAGGTTCATTTGCATGATTTAGCAGGTGCACCAACCACTGTTCTATTTGATAAGTTGAGAATTCTGTACCAAGAGAAGCAAGCTAGTAACAACACTCATGTCTATATTGTTTCTCCATCTTCCTTGCATTCTATATTTTCTAAGCATGAAACTGACATGAAGATAGTTTTGCAAGAAGTTTTTTTCCCACACTTAAGCATGGAGGACCCTCCAAGAGTGCAGGACATTGTACACACTAGATTAGATGAACTAAATACTCTGCTAGAAGAGCTACGGTTAATGTTTGGGTTGAACCTCTATGAGGTTCTATGAATAATCTACATGTATATTTAACTATTGTACATATATTGGTGATGGGAAGATTTGGTGTCAGGAAATTCAGAAAATACAGCTGCACTTAATTGCAGTCATGAAGGAAATAGTAATTTACTCATTTTAGAATTTGTAACACCTATGTGTATATTGTATCAAAATAAACCGCTTTGCCCATACCCATGAAGTATACAAATGTACCTGATTGCCCTGTTTGTGTATAGTAAGCGAAAGATGCCATCATTATACACAAGATTTGCAATGTTTTAGTCTCAATCAGACTAACAAAGTAGAATAATTTGCCAGGGGAGGTTGTCCATCACTGAATTCATTTACCCGCACAGTTTAGGGGGATATGTTACTCTTACCGCCAGGTCACTCTCCTGGTAAATTACTGACCCTATTTTTGTCGAATGTTACGATCCAGAACCCCTTAGGAAGGCCTTGTGACACGTGGAGGGAAAAACAATGCATGTGTTTAGTTGTGATTTTGACAGTTGATTTACAGGGAGGTCAGCTTTAGGCGACCCAGCACGTGCCTTTGAAAAGTGTTGTCATGCCCTATTGGATTTACAGTACATCATACAATCCCCTCTCCAATTCACCAAACACTTCCTGGAGGTCTTGAACTTGAGGGTCATGAGAACAAGTGTGAAATGTCCTATTTCGTGTTTTACACTTGTCTTTAACGTACGGGCCCTGCAGCTGTGGACAAAGGTATTAGTGTAATTAATATTGGAATTTTCAGGACGGATAAGATTCTGCCAGGAGCAACCATGTGATTTTTCATCAAGCATAAGGAATACGACAAAAATCTCCGAAGGGTGTAGAGATAAAGATAAAATTTTCAAATCATTGTATATCGCACTGTATATATACTGCATCTATATTATGTGCATTTTAAACACAGGTTGGAATTTAAAGGTTAGAAAGTAGCTCTTAATCAGTATATTTTAGTTTAAATTTGACAAAGAAATCGGGTAAAAATAACCAATGTTTTCAGGTCTTCTTCGATTTTCCTGCTTGCCCTGATGAGAAGTGACAGACGCTGTAATAGAAACCGAGGCGTTTCATTTCCCACGGGCTGCGCATAGATTAGTTATAATTGCCCTGCGACCACCGTGCATTCTGTCGTCGGCTGTTTTAAGTTACTTAGGCTGCAGGCTTCACCGGGAATGCGCTGCGTACTTTCAGGTATGCTTAGTGTATTTGTGCGCTTCCGAAGGTTCTACATTATTAATGCATGTTTGCCGTATTTAATGATTTAGGTTGTCAGGTCTCGGTCATATTACGTGGGGTGCCAGGACTCAGCTGATGTGCAGTTACAGTTTTAATTGGGAGGTGGCACAAGAATTGCATTTAAATCTGCCAATTATGCATGGGCAGGGAATTTTACAAAAATTCAGTATCCTGACAAGAAAATTAGATTTAGTCCAACCATTCACCGGGGAGCATACATACCCCCAATTCTTTTGCTATCAATTACATTTGGGGTCTAATTACATGATTGTGTAACTTACGGGTAACACGGTATATTCTGTTACAGTTTTAATTGGAAGATAGCAGACGGATTACATTTGAATCTGCCTGTAATCTTCTGCAAGGTCATGTTCAAATGCGGGTAGGGAATAACACGTAACTGTAAATTCAAATAAAAATCCAATATCCACGCCTCACAAGAAAATCGGATTTAATCCACAGAGAGGCATACTCATCCCCAATTCTATTGCTATTAAATACATCTGGGGTCTACTTAATTACGTACATACCATATCAGTAACACCGGATATTCTGTTACAGTCTTAATTGGGAGGTGGCAGACGGATAATCTTTAAATCTGCATGTAATCTTCTGGAAGGTCATGTTCAAATGCGGGAGAGGGAATAACATGTAACTGTAAATTTGAATTAAAATCCAGTATCCTCACAAGAAAATCGGATTTAATCCACAGAGAAGCATACTCATCCCCAATTCTATTGCTATTAATTACATCTGGGGTCTACTTAATTACATATATAACGCAACAGTAACACCGGATATTCTGTTACAGTTTTAAATTGGGAGGTAGCGGACGGATAATCTTTAAATCCGCCTGTTATCTTTTGCAATGTCATGTTCAAATACGGGAAAGGGAAGAACTTGTAACCGAATCAAACGAAAATCCTGCATCCTCACTAAACAAGAAAATCCAATGTTGTCCACCTGAAAGACCACTTGTCCCCAATTTTATTGTTATTCATTGCCTTTGGGGTCTACTCAATTACATATGTAACATGGACCTATAATTTTTCGGCCATGGCCACCTGCGCCTTGCATCAGTCTTCCAAGAGCAGTCTGTGTGACATACGTTTATGTACGCAGAGGGTGGCCCAAGGATTATAAGTGCTTACTCAGCAGTGCGTAGCGTTGTATTGACTTTCTTGATGGGTGGCTGTTTCCATCTATCGGTGGACTGAATCGTAAGGGCCTGGTAACAGATGTCCTGTGTTGTCGCAGAGTCGTCTTACGATCTTAGAACTGAGGGCACCCCTTGGATAGTCGTGCGTGTATGTCCTGGAAACTTTAGCTGTCTTGTTATGACAAAGGCTATCTTACAGATCCTCGTCGGTTGTTGGCTCTGACACAGCCTGCTTGAAAATTCTACGGCATCAAAAATCGCACGACGACCTATGAAGAATGTGATCGCGTGCCGTAAGTTTGTTACTTTTTTTGATGTTGGTTACAGCTCTATGATGGAAATAGTACAATCAGGGCAGTACAATCTCGCCAATCAGTGGGAGTGACTGTTGAATGATGGGGTGTAAAGACATAATCAGTTCAGTTAGTTATGCATTACAGAAGCAAGAAACTGTCAGTCCAAAAATATCAATGAGAAGGACCTGTGATTTGTATCTTTGCTGTTTAAGATATAAGGCCATTCTAATTAGCTGGTTATTTTTCCTCGGTAGTTTCTTTATGTATTCAGGAGCCATCGTAAAGGCTTAAGCATCCTTTTATTGCAACATTCCACCCTCCAAGTAGTTGCTTAAAGGATATTCACGGAGTTGCAGCCTTCTTAGCGTTGCAGTGCGGCATTCTTATTTTTTTACGAGCGAGTTTCTTTGTATACATGTTGTATAAGATTCCCAATATAACGTTATTGGGAAATGTTTATTGTGGATTTGACATTTTGTTGTTATGTATTCAATTATATATTGTTTTTGTGAGGTTCAATCCTTGACTCCAACTGGTATATAGATACGCATACTGTAGATACCACTGCTAACTGTACCATTTATGATGAAGCACGTCACATTCTAGCCACGCCGAAACCGCGCAAGTTATTTTGCACGTACCCTTTAATGTTGGGCGTGATTGGTGGGGCTCTGAGGGAGGTTTTGGGTTTACATGTAGCAGCTCTGTGATTAATATGATTTTATTCATTTCACGCAAATTAGCACAGTATTCAGACATGTATCTATCATGGAACTTGTAAATGCCATTCATAAATTCACAACGCGAAAATATGTAATATATTTATTTGTAGAGCAATCTGAAAACATGGCATTGTGATCACTCAACATATAGGGTACCATATTAATCATGGTATTTTGAAAGATAAAATCGCCAGGTGGTAAAAATTACCAATTTTTGTGTACCATATCAAAAATGGCCATTGTTGACAATATCAAACATTGTTGACAGTATCAAACATTGTCAACGTGTGCCAGTTGGGTTCGGATCCGGAGATAGAAGAGTGCATTCATTGTAACGTACAGTCGCAATACAGAGCATTGCCCCCTCTTCAATCGTTCCTATCAGGCAGACGATAGCTCTAGCTTACCGACAATTCCACCCAGACTTCACAAGGATGAGTGAACTATTAGCTCTATGTTTACCTACTAGTCTAACGTGTTGACATTAGCCACCAACAGCTATGCAGACAAAGTCTACGTCTTACTCTATTAATCATATCTGATACGTTAGGGGTTACAGAGCGTTGATGTGCCTTAGCTTTGGACGCAAATCATTTCAAGAACCCCTCAAAGCATGGTTGGAATCCATCAGTTGATTGACCACATGCAGGGTTGGAGTATATTTGGATTTGCTCTCTGAAACTTCTTGCCTGGTCATTTAGGGCCAAGGAACAGTAAGCGATGGAGAGTTGCCAAGATTATGAGGATATGGTGTGATGATTTAACGACTTCAAAGGAAACAGAGTCTTATCAGTGAGACAGATATTTACGTTCAGGCAGGGGCTTTTGCCAGTACACTGCCAATGCTGTCTACACGGGACCTCATTAATTTCCCGTAACGTCGTCCGGTGCACGTAAGTAATAGGTTTTACAGAAGCTAGTTAGAAGGCAGCAGTATTCTATATATGTATGTATTTTGTTTTACAGGTCATAATGCTTATGATAGTGCTGAAAATGTATTGTAGTGTTCAATAGCCATTGTGTTATATATGCCCACTTAGGTCTTGGACGTCAAGTATCCATATGGTTATTTTCCAATGTTTATTACATGGTATAAATCCAAGGCTATAAATGGATTGTTCTGGCTCATCAACTGTTGAGTATTTGACGCAACCAAAAAGGAAATACTATGCTGAGGAAAAGTGCATTGATTTTGTCTACTAATCTTCATGAACTCACACGTTATAGATGATGCTGGATTCACGGCGGATATATGCAATGACTTGAGTACTGCTCAGAAATTTACCGATCTTTCATGCATTCCAAAAGAAAGATCAGGCTATCCTATTTGCTGTCGTGTAGTTTACTAGTGCCGGGTAGGTTTACTGCCAAATTCATCGTATACTCAAGGGTAATATTTTCTACTTATCCTTTTACTTTAAATACTTTCAGCTATTATGCCCAGAACCATCAAGCCCCGTCAGGGGTACTGAAAACCTACACGAGAGCCTCACAAGTGTCGCCCCTTCCCTTCCTGTTCTCAGCTGTTAGCCCTGCAGCCAAAACAACATGAGGCTGGCCACCGGTCTACTCCTGTTCGGCGCCGTGTTCTGGTCCAAGGGGTAAGTTATGTTATACATGTATGCATACCAACAATAATACTACTCTTATTGGAGCTGGCAATGTGAGGAAAACCTGTTTAGATTCGCGGGCGTATCACACTTAAGCACTCTGCGAATTTTACATTGACGATCATTTCAAACAAGTCTGGCTATAGGGTAGACAGAAGAGCCAGGACGTCCTTTCTTGGGGCGGATATCGTGTTGCAGGTTCTATTTCTGATGACCTCTGCTGTAACCTTTCCCAGTGGTGTACCCTTGTCGGTTGTTCTTTAACACCCCCTTTTACTAAGATGGATACGATCACTGAATAACCAAACATTTGCCAGATCGCTCAACGAATTTCGTAGAGAAAGAATGATCTTTGACGATTTTAGACTTTGTTGTCTTTTAATTTTACGTTCATATATTGCACGATATACCAATTATAAAACCAAGGGTTACACAAGTCCAATTCAGGTCGCTCAATGGTTGCTCAGACATTGCCGTCAAGTGGAAAGGGGGACTATGAACCACTGGATATCTGGCCGTCTCTTGGGATATTGAATTTCTTACACAGCTGCTTTTATGCCCCCTCAGGGATGGCAGGTTTAGGTATAACCTTGAAAGAGCTAGGAGGGTGATGATGTGGACGATCGTTATCACATGGCAGGGCGAGCTTCTGGTTAATTACATGACTTGAACTTGGACAGTAGGGCAAAGTGACGAATGACGCTCACATAATAAATTTACGTATGGCCCTGTACGTAGTGCAGCTATATAATACAATAAATGTCAACCTTTGCTTTGAAAAGTATCTCGGGTCGAACATGGCTGAGCAATGTGGCAGTTGCCGCGAGATTTGGAATGTGAGAGTCATGTATGCAGAATGTTAACCCAGACCGTGGCGCATGTTTGCAACATTTGCTGCAGGGATAAGTACGTCGTAGTTGTCTAGCACACAATGCTCAATGTTGAGAACCATGCTTGTCAAAACGGAAATTCTCTGCACTACACGCGTACAGTAGCTTGCTACATCCTGTTGGTAACTTCCGATGTCTATGCCATGAAGTCGGTCGGTCATCGCACTTTATACGAGCAGAAACAAGAAGTACGCTAATAATGCCATGTTCCAGTCTGTAACATACACTAGAGGGCTTGATGAGTTTTATTGGCATTATGACCAGTTTCGGAAGATAAAGAAATGCTAAGGATATAATTTTAAACTACAAGGATATGATAAATAGGTTGATAGATAAACCACTACCAATTGTGTATTTTTTATTTGGGAGTTAAATATGTTCACCTTTTCTTTGCATCCTCCAAGATTGACATGATGTACAATAAATTTCCACGTCTCCACTGTAGCACGAAATTGCCCCGTGCCCTCTATGTCAGTTTTATAATACATTGCCCATTATACAACGCATGGTATGCAAACCCAAGGTCACTATTCTATTTTTCGCCAGGCGTAACCTCCACCGTAATAATTTGACCACTTGTCATCATCTGCTGATAATTATCATTGTGAGTTAACCGTAATCCAGATATCCTTTGGTAGAGCCAGTCATTTCTTACTGCCAAAACTGTCAGCATAAGGAATTTCCATTAGGGCTTTGATGCTATGGTTACCGTGGTAGGTATTACATTGGTATTGCACGAGTAAAACTTTTACAATACCGATGTTTGTCTGTACATCGTAGCGGGTTGTCATCTGTCATTTTCATCATTGATGATGATGAGCGTTTTTCTAATATCATTTTATGACATAAAATACCTGATGAAGTCTTTTTTTAGACGCCCCCTTGTAGTGTGTTGCGTACACATCTAAATATGGCTTTGAACTCAACCATGTCCATGAACTCAATGCGGTCTTACCACGTGAAGCAATGTCCCTGTTTGTAGGACGCCGATCCCAGACATTAGCTTCTGTCTATATATTATCTACATCGTGGCAGCTTGCCATTTCTACCCAGGGGTACGTAACCTCTCACTGTCAGGGGCTGATTGGGCCTCTTCCCAAAGAGGCTTGTGGCCATACACGAGAGAACTATTCTTAAAAATTCCAATAGGAGTTCATGGGTCTTGGCCATTGTGAAAAGCAATCCAATTTTGTCTGTCACTATGGAAACCGACCATCACAACACCATGGTAACAGACCCGTTCGCAGTCTGGCAATAATTGGTTCCTGTTAGCACATATGCATATATCAACAGCATTAAGGTGTTCGTTCCCAATTCTTCAATGATACATTCAACTCGCTATACGTTAAATAACCGTGGCATAAACCTGTACAGTCTGCATGAATCATCTATATTTCCATTTCTTGTCCAGGTCAGTGTTTTAATTGTATATGATCAAAAGTATGATGATATGTGTTACAGCGCACTGTCTGTTTTTAGTATTCGACAGAGAACGACACTTGTACCCGATACCTCACCAAGAGGTGTAAATATCAATACGTAACCAAAAGCAGCATAATGCTTATTGACCAAATCGATAGGCATTATTTCCTGCTGGAAAATTGAATTTGACCCACGCGATCTGATCTTTCTCTAGGCGCAACCTCTTTGTCAGTAAAGTCTCTGGCTAACAGTCTTTGGGCTGGTTTCCAAAATGGTTAGAAATAAAAATTTTATAAATAGATGCAGTAAGCAACAAAAGGTCTGTTCAATAGTTGCCTACAGAGAATTCAGCTGGCACGGACGTCTTTGCGAATGCCAATCTGTATTCTAAATGCTTACTAATAGGCTAACAGTGACTTATTCTTTGGGCAGCTCTCCAGTTTGTTGGTAATAAAACTTCTGTGAACACTTATAACAAGCATGTTAACGATAAAAGTACTGTTGTAAATTTGACAAGATCTTTTAGCTGGCATGGTTGACATTTGTGAATACGAATCGGTATTCAAAATGCTGAGGCTGCAGTACTGTCTTTGGACTGGCTTCTAGTTAATTGGTAATAAAACTTCTCTGAACACTAAAAGTACCGTTGGATATTTGCCAAGACACTTCAGCTGGCATGGCCGTCTTTGTGAATGCGAATATATACGCTGAGACTCACCGTAATGTTTTTAGACTCCAGTTGGTTGGCAATATAAAACGTCTATATTATAACCATATGACAAGCAATAAATCTACACTCGCCAGCCTCCTTCACAAAAAGTATTTCAACCTCGTGGAATTGGCATCAATCGTGTGACACTGTTGACAGCTGGCCAAATACAGTTGACATCTGCTGCTGCTGTTGACCTCCATGACCAGCCTACATAACTCAACACTTTAGAGATGGGGAGAGGCGAATACAACGTTAGCACAGCACTTAAAACTCGCATATCAAAGTCAAACTGTAACATTGATTGTTACATACACCGTAGACGTTTCGATTTAGGATTTATCTATTCACTTAATTGTCTGTCTGATTTAAATGAAACCAAGATTCCTAAACTACATTTGTAGCAAGTAGCTACTAAAACATAACATCAATATAGAAGAGTATTTCTTGTCGCAGAGCATTCCAGTAATGCGGTCAAAGAGATGTTTTGGTTATGAATAATGTATTGTTGGTATTATACAACAGAGTTAGGTCCTCGAGATATTCTTATGTAAATAGTCCCTACTTTGAACTGGAGTAGATTATTTCAAAGGTATGCCATTTTGTAAAGTGTCATGATTCACCTCCAACATGAAAGGAAGGGTTGAATATAAATAGTGCTCAAAGGTTATGGTCCGTAAAGTGGTGTGATTTAACTGGCTACATACTTCTCGTTATTTTAGGAGTTATAAATATGCCATTGAGTTTACTAGACCTGTGCACTAACCATACAAAGCAGAAGTATCAAAGTTAACTTTGATATATGGCAGCCCATGGGTTCTTTATCAAATTGAAATTGGTGTGGTCCCTTATCTAGACACCGTATAATGCTATTTATATCCATAAAAACGAAAAGGCCATCCTGGTATTTGACGCGCAATGATGGCCATCTCTGTGAAGCAATCGCCCTTGAAATGAGTTTGGTTATTTAGGCTGATGGAGGATTGAACCGGTCAGCTATGTCTATGTGTTTGTGAATGTAGAGTATTGTATATTAATAAGGTTTTATGACCGATATTTTCAGAAAACAATTTGGTACACGAATGCAAATGGTTTTACAAAAATGCCATGTCACACAAAATAGGTTATCGTCAACTGGTTGGTTGCTTTTAACTTAACAGTGATGCAGCATCTATTTTTATCGCCATCTCTTTATTGCACAACTCATTAATTTCATCATTGATGTTTTAGTTTTTTAAGCTTAATCATATAAACAGCATGTAGAGAGATGTAATTTTTTCTTTATAGGACGTTCTGTCTGTCTGTTCTAAGCAGTATCGTATTAAACAACTGTTCCTTTATTTTCTCCATATTTCTGCAGCTTGTCTGTTGTTGTCGAAGATGTCGATGACCCTCCCTTCTTGCGTCAGCCGAGACAAGTTTCAGATGGTATGTTGTTTACACCCAACACTTGTATCATCCTGTGTAATCGTATTAGCAACCGATTTTACCGGAATTTTATATTGTACATTACGTTATATTTCTTACTGCCATTGTTTTCCCATTTCTTGTTCCAGGCGGCCCCGACAATACGACGGATTCGAACACAGGATTTGAAGCAGCTACTGCAAGGTATCAGGAGGATACTAGAGTTACATTGTCAAATGAAATATACACATGTTGGAACCCTATTGACAATTGTGCTGCAAGCGTGGCCTTTGGCCCAGATAGAAGTTATTGAGTCCTGTATCCGATGACCCAGTCTCGAAGGGAAGTATGGTAGACATGTGTAGCGCAGTTAAGTGATAAATGCGGTCCTGACAGGTACATGTAACACAGTGTTTATTATTAGGCACTAGATGCATCCAATGGTATATCATTGATAAGTCTTCATGTAATATCTCTTATGCAAACAATGTTCCCAGGAAATAAGCGTATTCCAATTGCTCATTTACATTATATCGGTTCCTTCGCTTACAGTTCATAGTTCTGAATCATAATAACGATTCGTCACACAGTATGTTTTGTATGTATGTTTGTTTTCAGTAACATAGGGACAACACCTGCGTCCATGGCACTGGTACTGCAGATGCTGGACAACTATGACCAAAGGCTGAGACCAGATTTCAGAGGTAGATTTTACTTGACGTTCGGGGTACGGAAGTATAGTTTTGGGTGGCTGAGTTTGTGTATCTGTCCAGACGTCTAAAATCTCCGGATCCAGTTTCTTTTTTTTTTTTCTGTGATGTTAGTAATAGTAATTAGCCTAGGTAAATGAATGAGCCATGATTATTCTCTGCCATATACTTGTAGCACGAGAATTAGACAACTTTTACATCTTGTATATTAATAGTTCAACTGTCAATTTTCGTAGACCTACAACCTGTTAGTATCAATAAACCTACAACCTGTTGATGTCTTCAATTTTCCCTCCGGCAGGTGGAGCTGTGACCGTGACTTTCCAGCTGTACATCCTCACTATGGGTTCTATATCGGAATCCTCTATGGTAGGTGGTTGCCTCTATGGAACATGATAGGAAATTTAATAGGAAAAATGATGGGAAATGATAAGTTATTATAAAGATAAAGAAGAACTGAACTCAAGCATATTTCAGAATGCACTCCTTGTAGTTGTATTGTGTCCAAAGGTTATCGCAACATTTTGATGGACGATATATTTAGGATATAATTCCACAGTACAAACGTTACTTGATTTAACAAGATTGCGTAGACCTGCAGCATATAGACGTTGTAAGTCTGAAATGTAGAAATTACATACATAACATTATAAACAAGTCTATTATAGTCGCTAATTCATATTAATACATGTAAACTTAAACGACTAATACGACGAAAATCCACACTCATGACCGTTCATTTACCTTAGGACTATGTGGTGACCGTGTTTCTGCGACAACAGTGGAACGATCCTCGCTTTGTGTACACCGGCTTCGATGGCAACCTCACTTTGTACGACACCGTCATTGGTAGGTATCTGTATTACGCAAATGTCAATTAAGGTGTCAACAATGGGTCAAAGTCGATATCGCTCCCCGCCGTCCTGGTTGAGAGAATGTTGATGCACCTTAATGTAGATGACCTCCTTCACACTTAATGCTGAGGTCACCAATATATAAAGTCAAATGACATCGCGATTGGGCCATGTAGCTTTAGATGACTGAGGGATTTCGTAGAAAATTCATGTGGGTCCGATGTAGTTGGAGACGAGGTTAGTTGTTCCATAATGTAATTTACCAACTTGTAGTAAGAGAGGTACATGTTAAAAGGATACTGATTTCTTTAACTGGAGAGTGTACTGTTTTTTTCATAGCCATAGCAGCCACCTTCTTATTCCAAGCTGTTAAAACTATTTCCAGACGGCGGTTTTATTATTGCGATGTTTTGCTGATGATGTTTGGCTTCCTGACGTCTTCTTCGTGAACGAGAAGGCTGCCGGATTCGCGTCATCGACAGGGACTAGCCGGATGATGAGAATCCACCCAAACGGCGACGTGCTGTACAGTACCAAGTACGTAAAACTATCCTCTACGTTTACCGAACACGCGTGTTTGAAGAACTGTTTTACCTCTGAGACGGAAGTACTGTTTTGGGTGGCGATGATGTATGCTATGTGTGTATGCTTGGGTTCCAAAGTGTGGCACCATCTGTCTTTACAGGAAGACTGCGTTACTTGCGTGTCCGATGAACTTCGCTCTCTACCCAATGGACAGCCAGGAGTGCTCTATAAAGATAGAAAGCTGTACGTATGGGATAACGGAATAGCAGGATAGTGGTTCAGCACATTCTGTTGTGTTTGGTGCATTTGTTGTGCTTTTACAGGGCCACATTTTTTGGGGGAAATCCTCTGGAAATGCATTATGTTGGGATTTATCACCATAAGCATTGTGATGATGACGATGGTTTCTTTGATAGTTGTATGGTTTTCTTTGCTATTTTTATTGAGTTGTAAGAAGACTTGTGATCGGTGCATCTTTATACATACTGAGTCACATGTCGGGCTATATGCATCGTAATGATGAGGATGGTTTCTTTGATAGTTGTTTGACTTTGTTTGCCCTTCTCTTAGAGTTAAAGAAGACACGCGCTTGTGTAAGGCTGATGCCCTTATTGCCACAATATGATTTGCAAAGGGAATCTTTGTGGTTGTCATAACACGTTGAGTTACCAGCATTGGCAGCTTGCTACTGCCTCTAATGTATTTGATGCACGCGTTATTGAAAAAAAAAAAGAGTATGAAAGCGCACGTTAAATGGCTTTGACAGTTCTTCTGTTGCATTGTTGCTTGCCTTGCAGTCAGCCACAGCACGAAAGACATAGTTCTAGAGTGGGCGGACCCGCCTATTATACTGGCTGACGACATTCAGCTGCCTGAATACAAGATCTTGAGCACGACGCCAGAGAGATGCGATGTGGTTCGTCGGATAGGTAGATATCGCGATCGTCTTTTTAAGCATCCAGAGCGATTGAGGGCAGCAAAACTCGTTTTTTAAAGTCAATTTTCTGGCCATTGTTTACGTAGTGAGTTGAATCCACCCCATCCCACATCATACCATGTGAGGCAAAACTTTGATGTCACTGGCGGAAAAAGGTTGCTTGTCGTAAGCTGGTTCTAGCTACACATTGGTAGTACGAATAGTGAAGTGTCTTGTTTTGGGGGCTGATTCAAACACTTTAAGTATGAAATGATGACTAAAATGTGCTCAGAGATGGAAGTAAATGACAAGTTTCCTTATCCAGAATTTTTTGTTTGAAATTGTTTTGCTGCCCTGAAATTGGCATTGGATGCCTTTAGCCTAAACCCTTCTTTCCCCATTCCATCCCACGTCATTGTGTTGTTGTCTCAATCCACCCGCTGTAGTTAGTCACACTACCATGGATATCAATCTGAAATGGAGCGAAGTGCCCATTGTTGTGAACGAGGCTATCCGCCTCCCAGAGTTCCAGATCACCGACGTAAATTCCACTAGGTGTGACGCTGTCAGAGAAGTAGGTAGGGCAGTTTTAATAACATTGACTGAGTTTTTCAATAGTTAACACTCAGTTTGATAGTCTTGTAGTGATAGAATAGTATCTTGTAGCTACGTTATTGAGATAATCCAATAGTCCTAGGTGTTTGAAATCTATTATGTCAGTTTTGTTAAACATTTATAACCCTCCTAGCTAGCCACATGATTGATAGAGGATTACCATAAATATTAATGCACGAAAAGTATTTAGCTGTAAATAATCCCCAGTTATCCATAAGGTATAAACGGACCGCAGAGTCAGCTAGGCAAGGTGGCCTTGAAAAAAAGATTGAGCACAACGTTACATGTCATAACCAGTTACTACTTGAAGTAGGGAAGCGTGTTGCTTTAAGAATAGGGGCTTAAAATTTTCAGCCAGCGGTCTTGAAATTGCACATATCCTGCTGCTATGTGAAGCTACTCGAACGGTGAGGGTAGCAGAAGCGAGGAATTTTTAATAAAGAACAAATTAAGGCTTCATGGAGTAAAGATATATTAGTCACTTTCTTTAATCCATTATTTTGTCCGTTTTGTCATGCATTTCTGTATTAACGGCCTTTTCTACCTACCCCTAGTCACGACGAGTATTACCATTGCCACCCATGCACGCAGTAGATTGTGTTTACTTTTAAGTTTGCCACCATCCACCGGCACAAGTGCAATACAAAAATGTTCTACGATGACATTTTCTTCCACAGGAACATTTTCCTGCCTGGAAGGACGGTTCAAGATGGTCCGCAGGATGGGCTACTACATCATACAGACATATATTCCCAGGTGAACATTCTTGAACACTTTATAATCACTCATAAATGATGTATCAGTACCAAGCTACATAAGGCCAACTGATTTCTTTTAACTATCCGAATTGACGTCAAGTTCGTACATTACTACAATCATTGCTTACTTGCTTAAGGCTGTCCGTCGTTGCCGACGATGACGTCACTTCTGTGTGTCCTTCTATGGCTGACAAGTCCTATTCTACAATCATTACAGTATAGTGAATGACAGTACTTAGAATGTATAAATCAAACTAACATATGAAGAAAAGTTGAAAGTATCCAACTCAACTGGTAGTAAGGATGCCTGACCAGCTAAAGATATAGTGCAAAAGTCGCCTTTGACTTTGAGTCTTCAATGCACTGCTGGTTGATGTGGTCAACACTCACCATGGCTCATTCTAGTTATTTGTTTTTTACAGTATCCTGATCGTGATCCTGTCTTGGCTGACATTCTGGATCAGTCCTGAGATCGCCCCAGCTCGTGTGGCGCTCGGCATCACCACTGTGCTGACATCAACAACCTTCACAGCCATCAACAGAAGTACTATGCCCAGGTAAAGCTAATGAAAAATACTTTTGGCTTTGTTTGTTTGTTTGTTTGTCTGTACTTTGAAGTAGCGTGTGTAGTCCAGTGGTTAGCGGCCCTGCGTCTTAACCAAGAGTTTGGGAGTTCGGAGTTCGAATCCCGGCTTTTGTCGCTCACCCTACATGCAGTCAACTGGAAGTACTGGACGGGGCGTTAAGCAGTGGTCTACTGTTTATTGCTTTTCGAAGAAAGCTAGGTGAATTCAATGAACCTGTACAATATGGAATTTATCACAAGGTTTCATAAGAATTGAAGCTAAATGTTTATTTTGTCCCAAGGTTTTCCTATGTGAGGGCAATCGACATCTGGTTGCTGGCATGTTCTTTCTTCATCTTTGCTGCTCTGGTCGAATTCGCTGCCGTTCACTTCCTCTTCAAACGGCACAAGAAGTTCGGCTTCTCCGGTAGGCTCAGGAGACTCCTCGGCTTGGAACACCCTCCGCCCGAGGGAACGGAGGAGGTGAGGAAATGGTTACAGTACTTTTAAAAGTATTCTATGCATTATGAAAAACTTTTCTCCAACTCAAAATTTGACTCACCAGAAATTTTTGACTGAATCACTCAGTCTTCCTCAACTATCTGACCCAAATGCTGTGGACACGTGATTTTTCCCACGTGTGACGTCAACAAAGGGTCAAAGGGTGTCTGAAGTCGATATCGTCCCCCGTCCCGGTTGAGCGATGGTTGAAGTGCCCTTCAGACAACCTTTGGCCCTTTGTTGACGTCACACGTGGGAAAAATCACGTGTCCACAGCATTTGGGTCAGATAGCTAAGGAAGACTGAGTAATTCAGTCGAAAATTTCTGGTGAGTCAAATTTTGAGTTGGAGAAAAGTTTAAGTTTTTCATAATGTAATTTACCAACTCAGATTAACTTTCATGCTATTTTATGCATTGTTGGGTATTTTAGGCATTGTTGTAAATCATTTTAGGCATTGTCGTAATGACCATTGCAGCACTGATGAATCTACTAAATATGCTGAGCTTAGACTAAACACGTAGTTAAATTGAGTCATCATCAGTTTCATGCGCTACTCCATGCTAATACATTTTTAGTTTACATTTTCAAGGACCATCGCTGAAAAAAAAACGAGGGCCATAGTGTAGTCCTGTGTATCTTGCTAACTCTTCAGCCAGCTGAACATGTTCATTCTCAGTTCCTTCTGCTGCCCACATCCATGACTTATTTACTTATCCTCTTCATCCCTCGTCATAAGGCCATGACTCTGTCCTGCCATATGGACCTGTCTTTGGCCACCTTCTTTACTCATCATCAGGATAATCCCATTGATAACAGGTCATCAGTCACAGACTAGGTCTTCTCCAAGTGGTTTAGGGTCTACCCCTTTTAACTTTCCCCAACAGGTCCCCAATTAAGGCTGTTTTCTGTTAGGTATTCATACGTCATCCGTTTTTCGTATACATGGCCTAGCCACGTTAGTCATCTGTTGGTGATTTCTGTGGATTGCCTTCTCTACAACCGGTTCTGTTATGTGTTCTGTGGAAACCCATGCCCCTTAGGTCGAACTAAAACCTTCAGCTTCCACCACATCGGAACGCTTACTGCTCGGAGGCGGACACACACAGGTAACCTCCGGCTGGCTGGCCTAACTCATCAAGTACTTCATGCGTCATATACAATTAAAACATCAAGCGGACTTAATGCCTGCGAAGCCCATATATAGGCAAGGCAGCAAGTATGCGCAGTCTAGTATAATCATCGAATGTTAAATAACATAATTGATAAATATCCCAACTTTGGTAGAGAGAGAGAGGGGGGAGAGAGAGAGATTATATGATTAACAGTTATATCAATATAAATGCATAGATATTAACTTGTAGTGTTGAAATGATGTTATGCTATATTATGAACCTGTATGCAATATGAATTTGGAGTCGTTCAAAGTTTGTAGGAATGTAGGAATATAAAGTTCAAACATTCTGTCATGGATTGTGTAATGTGTATCCCTTCCCTTTCTCTTATTATTTTAAGATACGACTTGAAAACGCCGAGCCCAAACCTGCTGAGGTCACTGGAGAAGAAGAGAAGCACCACCGCACTCTGGAAGAGCTGAAGGCCCTGTATCAGAAGCGTGCGCGCAGGATAGACCTGGCGGCAAGGATTGTCTTCCCGTCGGTCTTCTGCATCTTCAACCTTTGCTACTGGGGCGTCTTTCTTCCACAATATGAAGGGTGATGTAACGGGACCGTTGCATCCAGAACCGTGCTTTATCCAGAATCATGCTCTGGCGCTGTTCTGGATAGTCTATGTTTCATCCAGAACCGCGGTCTATCGAAAACCGAGCTCAGGCGCGGTTCTGGATAGTACATAGTATATATTACATAACCAGAACCACATCTGATTCTAAAACTAACCCGTTCAGAACTAGATTGACATGATGGTTCTGGTTACGAAATGGACATCCCGAGACGTACTTCATATGATTAAATGCACTGCTTTTAATTCACGTTATTGTAGAGGATGCGATGGATCGGTTGGTTGAATAGAATCGATTATGTACATAAATTGAACTGTAACTATGGTTTAAACTATGCAAGAAAGTGCGGATCTTTTCAGATTCAATGAACATGAGGAAGATGCCGGATCGGGTGATTTGTAAATAGAGTAGACAGGAATGGACCAATGGCTGGGGCAAGCGCCATCATTAAACATAGTTAAGATTGACGGCTGCCCAAGTCAGACATATTGAGTAGATGACAACAGTATAAACATGTTAACAAATGGTGCCATTGACCATTGACCATTGCTATAACCACTGTGTGGATTGATTTTTGCTATATGTAAACATGTCGGATTGTTGTTGATGCACGGATTTTGTCTCCTATATCATTTTTACGAAGGTAATCACACCAATAACCTTGTAACTACATGTACTAGGTTGGTTATTGATATTGCCACGTGATATTGTGGATCAAATAAGTTCCCTCGCGTGATGGTATGAGATGTGTAGGTGAAGGTATACGGATGGTAACGAAACGTTGTGTATACTGCAAGTATAAGACATATGTAAAGGGATTGTATGATGTTGATGTATGATATTGTATGATGATGAAACGGAACGCGTTTTTGCCCGTTTTCTGTATCAGATTCTGTTCCAAGTCAGTATGAATGGATGGTTGCTTCAACAACTGATGTGTTTTACAACTATAAGAAAATTGGATCAACCGTTGAGTCCATTTTTCTTGAAGCACGTACAGTTCATCAAGTGTTCCATAAATTGCAATTTACCATCTGAGATGAACTTCCATGCCAGTATGAAGCATGGGTGTCTTCAAAGAATACCAATGACTATCACAAAATGACTTGGCGGGCGGCCATGATTACCACATCAGCCGCAAATATGTCAGAGATTGCCATCGCAAAGTAACTTTACGATCTCTTAAGCCAATTTCAAGGACGGTAAGTGCTTCCATATTACCCGTACAGCCGGGATAGAGTGCCTTGGCATTAGGTCTGGCCGCACGAGTTGTATGTCATACATGATGAAATAGAGGAAGACCATGGCCTCCTTATTAAGTTCTGCAAATAGAACTTTTTGAGGGCTTTATAATGCAATTTTGCGTATGTTATATCGCCTCTATTTGTATTCTATTCTTGTGAGGGAGTACAAATAGAAGCGTTATACCAATAACTCGCATCATGAAATTCCAGGTTAGGACATCACACGGAAGGCCAGAGCAACGTGTCGTCAATAAGCTACAGTAAGTCAAAAGTAGGTTGATTGTCGTTCCAAACATGGGGAACTATAGTTATAGGACAGAACCATTAACGTTACTTTATCTGTGTACCCAACCCGGCCTCCAGTTCCTAGACTCAGAATAACAACCGTTTCATCTTAATTCCTGACATCTTATTAAATAGGCCATAGTAACGCCTAGATAATTGCTATTTGAAAACCTCTTTGAAGAGCTATGATCTAGAATTCGGAGTCTCATACTTTAAAAGAATTGTAAATCGTGCTATTAAGCGGTGTTTCGCTTCTTACCATATTTGAAATGTACAGACGCCCACCGTGACCCTATTCCTTCACAGCGCTAGCGATAAGCAGCATCTGACACACATTATAGGATCAGAAAGATACACGGTAGCTTAGGACCAAATCGATTTTGTATTAGATCTGAGGTGCGAAAAATGTCACCCACAGCGGTTTTAAATGACCATTCGTGATCGATGTGTTTCTAATCATCTTATCTGGGTCATTTTTCTATGTCATCTACGTGGTGGTGGCCATGGCAAGGCTCTTAACTGATATAATCATATTGTCTCATTCTAGGACGGAGATGCATTTATCCGTGGGCAATTATGAAATTAGGTCACACTAACCATTTGAATGTCCTCAAGAAAAAGCATTCATTCTTAATATTTGTCTCTAGCTCTGTCAAGGATAGCATACATTGCATAAATATCCCTCAGATGATACGGCATGATATAAATACTTATACGGACTCCAACTTCATCAATAGTCATATTCCTCATCCACCGCTATGTACTTTCAGAGGATGATGAAAAGGCATTTAATCGATTGGTCTAGAGATGGTCTCATGTGTCCTCGACTCCGTTTACTATACTTTTTACTCCCCACCCGGGGCGAATTACTAAGCGTGACTGGCAACGGTGTGTGGATATTTAGAGCACCATTGTAAGCAGAGACATATTTTACTACCACGTTCATGTTTATGTTTTATTGTTATGAAGGAAATACTACCTTACCGATGTTAAAATGGTTGTTCGTGTACCGTCTCTACCAAATTATTTTCCAAAATATTATCGCAATAAAAGGAAGTCATGCTGCAGTAGCAAGGAAAGCAATGAAAGATTCCAACATCTAATCATTTCGGTGATAGGTCAAGACCTAACCACAAGCCGAATTTCATGACAACCCATCGATATCTTACGTTAAAAACGCTATCAGACCTAAACTTCACAGCAAAGGCAATAAGTGTAAGTAGAAAATCAACGCTAAGGAAAGGTTTTCATATTCGAACACATTATGATAATCAGCCTGACCACTTATATGATTAGAAAAGCAATACTCGACCTTGATGTCAGTTATCTTAATTTTAACTATTAGGGTCAGCGAAGCCAGGCCAAAACGTATTAAGGTAACTGCCAATGAATATTGATATTTTCAATTAAATCTGCGAGAGAGATTTATTGAAACTGTAGCTGTGTGGAGTGCGCTATCTCCCATGACAGGATGATAAAAGTTAATGTACCATGAAGTGGTTGAGTTGTAATATTTCAGGGTAGGACTAATTGACATTCTGGCATTCATGTCGGGCCTAAGCGTTAAATAAACTTGATTTCCATATGGAATTTCTGAAAGGACGCTTAACAATCTGGTATTGGGTTTTTATATCCAATACTCGATGCTCCATCTGTCTCTACCATGCATTTTATGAGATTTTATTACCTAAAACGTATGGATATTGAAAAACATCAATATTTATTATCAAGAAATGCAATACACTCTAATCATCTCCGTCTAGTTGCCTTGACTTGACGTATCAAGTGACATTGCTGATAAATTGTTACAATTTTCATTATCATACCATCTAATGTACATTCAAAAGCTTACCTTAGATATGCACATATTAACCGCACATCAGCCACCCAAAACAATACTTCCTTACCCAATGTAATGCCATTTTAGGTAGCAGGAACAGTAACAAGCGTCATTGAATCTGTAGCCAGCCGACTGTAACATATATCTTTAACGTTATCACCAAATCCACCCGTCATCTTCGTACGTAAAGCCCTGAATTTCCCGGGACGGCACACTTTATGGTCGTATTTCAAACGACAAATGGTTTATCCCCGTAAACATTCCTTTATATGTCCCAATCTTTTAACATATGAATGCAGTAACGTAGTCACGGCCACCTGAGCAAGGGACACCCTCATGGAGTATATAATGGTTAGTCCCTAAGTAATCAGCACCCTTCTCCTGAGCGATGACTGGTTCATCCCTCATACATGTCTTAAATGTCTGTCTGACGGAGGGCGGAGCTTGCTGTGTGGAGTAGATATAAAATTCCTCGCGGTTGTTTTAACCCAGTCGTGCTGCCCGAGCTAGCCGCATCGGGAGGCTGCGAGGCCAGGAGTGGGAATTCCTACCAACCAACCATGGACAGTCTGGGCCTCATGTGGGGTGTTCTGCTTGTATCAGTTCTGCTGAGCGGACGGTACGTGTCCCTATACCACATTCTGCGTGTTGTAATGGGCGTGTGTGAATGTGGATAACTAGTGGCAGTGCTGAAGGATTCTGACACGTATGGGTAGAATGTGGTGTCATCCTTCAACACTAGGCCATGGGCAATGAATTATTATGTTTCTGGTATCACACTCTACCTCCGATCCAAAACTGGTGGTTAATGTTTCAAAAGCTATTTTTGTTTGCATCGAATGTTGCTAGACCTGTGAAAAAATTATTGGTAGGCAAATCACTCACTAAATTAATACCTGCTTTTTGCCTACCACTATCTAGATGTGACGTCATGGGTCGATAGTATAATTTTGAAGACTTCATGGTTTATCAGTTATTGGGAAGCTGTTACCATAGAGATAAGATATAATCTATTGACCGGCTGTTATGATTTTGCCACCGAAAGATTTGCGCTTGAAGATTAGGTACGATATGCATAACCTGCACAGCAATCTTTACCAAGAGTTAAACCTATTTGTGAAATCGTCGAAACCAGTAATCTCAGCTCCACGTTGCCAAAGAATGGAGAAAAATGCCAGGTATTGCACACCAGTATATGAATGGCCTTTCAGATTAATTTGCAAGTCTAAATGTCATATCGTACTAACCCTAAGTAAGATTAGACACAGTTAAGTGACCACGGGGAGAAACCAACTTTAATACTGACATGCAAATTGCGTATTAGCATGTCAGCATGTCTGGAATTCAGAGGTTAAAGCTACTACTCACTGTAGCGCTAAGCTGCGAAGAGGATATAAAATATAAAACCCGTTCACCGTTAATATCGGCGGCAACGTTTCTTTTTATGACCAACGCATACAAACATGTTGTTGGATATATATACATATATATATATATGTATATATATCATCCAATAATAGCACAAACGGCTATATGAACAGATATCGTATTGTCGAAATCTTATAATGCTCTATACTCTACTTGTGCTGTATAGAGCTGCTATATGAGAGCTTATTAGCTGGAACGACATTCAGAGATTAAAACGCGCATCATATAACGTATGGATCACTGCGTGTCATATATTATTGGGGTTTTCCCTACATGCACATATCGACAGAGCACGTACAGTCGTATATCTATGCCATCAAAGGGACACGCTGTCGTTAATGACAATCAACACCTCAAATACCACACGAAAAGGATAAAAGATAATTTCTTCCTCTAGTAATACGAGAATGCTCTTACTTCCAGAGCATTTTCAAAAATTTGAAACGTTGGCCATGTTTATCTTTCTTGTTTAGAAGCAAACACAACCAAGCAAATACACCAGATAAATACAGCATGGCACCTACAGAAGAGCATTCCAAACTTTAAAAAAGGAAAAATTTTACAGGCACGTTGCCCTTCCCTCATTGATCTAACCTCTACTTAGTAATTGAAGTTCGGTGTGATCAGCCAAAACTGATACCGACATGATGTGAACAAGCATTGTCATTATGTCATAGCCACGTTATGCTGAGGTCATATTTCCAAACCGGGGCCCGACCGGGTAGTCTTACGTAACAAAAAGTATGATATAAGATTCAACAAAGCACAAGTTTATCAATTTACGTATATCATTGATATAAATTGTTGATTTTTCGTTCATCGAAACAGCCCGGCCGGGCCCCGCTTTGGAAATGTGACCTCAGCATTACCTTCATCTGCATTTTGTTTCTTTCACAACTAGCAGCCATATGTAGTAGAAGCCAGAATATCTAAAGCAGCCATATTTTAAGCTTATAGATACGTCTATTTACAAACTGACCCATGACAAACAGTTACCCAGGACTGGGACCATAATCAGGCCAAATGACACTGAAGCGGCTTTGCACTTGTGTGCTCCTGTCAGTGGGGTCATGGTCTCCTGCTAGTACCAAATTGGGAGGACTTAGAGGTGACATTGATTCAAATCACTGCCAAAACAGTGATTGAGTGGTGTTATATATAGTATTTCGAGTGTTTTTGTGATTAAATAGATGTAAAAACTAGATCACGTCCTCATACCTTCGCCAAATGAGTGTTTACCTTTAGGACTGACGATTTATAAATGCTCTCGTTTGTTGATTATGCAAATACGATCATTTGCAGAAGTTATGCCTGTGTGGATCATATTCTACGCACAAATAACAGGGGCTTTCAAGTAGCGTGACTTACCACATTTGTGAAAGGCTTGACATAACAGACGACTATCACCTTTCCAACATGTCAAGGCCTAGAGACCAGATTTTAACCACTCACACCGGGAGGAATCTTACACTTTCGATAAGTGTGGTACGTGTTTTCCGACATTGTATCACTCAGGAGAGGGCTATCCTCCCATGTCGATTGTTTTGCAGTTAATTCTGACTACTGGGATGAAAGCTTCATTTTTAGATTTAATAAAGTGCAACAGATGACCCCATTCCACCAGGGCATGGAGCGTGAATTCAATCTGACTAAAGGTCAAAGGGCAATCCTCATTGCATACCATGTCGAGTTTGGTTTACAACATTGTCGCCACTTTGATCCATTGTGGATTACCGCTGGTACACCAGTGAACGGTTCCTCACATTAGACCTGATTTCATTACCACAAGGATCCTCTGGGGACCCTAAACTGATGTAATGTGCGAAAAAAATAGCTTCGTTACGATGTGGTCAGACTCAAAGAAAGCATGGTATACCAAGCAACAAATTCGTCCCTCTTGTTCCTTTGCGTCTTCTTCAACGTAGTATGACTTTGTGTTGCAAGCAAGTGGTAAGTCGAGCCCTGATGCTATTCATCTGGTATCTTCTTTTTCCTTCGACATCTGAAAACATCTCAAGTACCTAGAGAAGCAAGCAGTATGGTCACAAACGTTTTGGCAACGAACGAAAATTGATGGGCGCGTAGATGCCACACAATCGAGCCAGGGTGGGAATAATGTTGGCATCACACATGTCGAACACAGAATACAGTTATTCGACATCCAAAACTAGGTCACTGTTAGATGTGTCGTTGTGTTAACGACCATTGTCGTCTGGTTTGTCACATTGTCGCCACTTTGGTCCACTGTGGATTTCTCTGCGAGCAAGGTTCCTTTCATGATACAATTAATGTTCATGCCACTAAGGGCAATCCTTTGACATTCAAGGAGTAGGACACCACTTTATTTATCATCGTTAGGGTGGCATCCAACAACTACTGTTCCTTTCAGATGTGTGCTCTGTTTGTTTTATGTTTTAAGTTTTATTTTGTGACACAGAAATAACATTAGGGCTAAATTACAGTTGCTTTATCCTCCGAACTCAAATTATATCCTTCACTCGTTATCAGTAGCTAGGCAGTAGCCATTGTCTTGCATTGGCCGTCCACAATGCTTCATATGTTACAGTCTACGATGTGTTTACAGTCTTTTTTCGTAAGATGTATGAGGTGATCTTGAGGCAAACTCCTACACTTAACCTACATCTGGATCCCGTAATCACCATTTGACATCCAGTGTAATGTAACTAGGTTCGTTACCTGGGAGTAGTTTCTACAGAACCTTACAAATCATCCACACTGATGAGTCTGCAGGGCAATGTGAATACATGAAGCGGAGCAGGAAGGCAAAAGAAAGTAATGCTGTGCTTCCAGTTTAAGTCCCAAAAAAACTAGGGTCGGTAGGTATGGATTCTCTTTTCTTTTTTGTTAGATTTAGGCTAAAGTGACCCAACAAAATGATACAGTTTAGCAATGTAAAGCTGAAATGCATCAGAATCAGGACCCGTCCTTCTGTTTGCATATGGGAAATGACTTCACTCGATTTCCCCCCTGCAAAACCTTGAAATACCGTTTGAAAGGATCTGATATTCAGGTCGGAAATTATTCTTTTATTCGCATCCTCATATGAGTTTTGGGGTGCCCAGAGGATGTCATCTATATACTAGTAATCAAATCAGTATAGTCTCATGGATACTTGCCAATGGTCGACTGAAGAAAAGGCTAGGGTCGGCATTTTTGTTTCGCCACGGTCGGAAACCGGAAACACAACATTTATTCTAGGCTAGGCGTAATCACCTTTGTCGTCTGCAAGCTACATTTAATGCAGGTTATCTGAACAATCTGTTAAGTGCATTCCCAGTAAGGAAATGGCCGAAAGTACGGTTATCTTGGAGTGGAGTTGCCTCCAGGTGGATTCTGAAGATTGTGGCAGTGGCTAAAAATCAATTCTAGCTTTACCCCTCCAAGGTACTACTGGAGACAATCAATTGATGATCTACTGATAGCAAGAAAGCAGTGAATTAAGAAACCACACTTTGGGGCCACCCAGGTCACATTTTCAATGTGTTTTTTGAAGTCATGTGTGGCCACAAAATAATTGAAGTAGTATATTTTAGGACCTCTAGTCAGTCGATTTTATTGCTGAATGACTGGAGGTCAGAAAGTCATTAGACACAGAAAATGGGATGAAGTTTCCCGGAAGTTCGAAACCTCCAATTTCTTGTCTTATCCTGCAAAGATACATATTTGCGAAACTGCCTGGCTCCCATGAACAATGTATCACCAGATCAAAGCTCAATTACGTTGACAGATTAAGTGTAGAATCTGATCCGTTACTTGAAGAAGTCCTGGCTATAAAAGGAAACCTATCAAAACTTAAAACCCCTGCCATATGCCCCCTGTAATTGCACACCCTGTGATTTTGGACGATCCGTCACCTCTTGTAGTGGTCCTTGCTGAATACGAAAAGACCAAGGAAAGTTCAATCACGTATGATGCTCCCGCAGTGTTGGCTACTGTCCAGCTTCTAACTCACAAATCTAGTCCGGGTAGAACCAGATTCTGTGGAGTCACGCTCGGCTGCAATAAATTACGTGAGTGCCTGCAGTGGTTACTTAGCTTGGTGGGCTCTCTTCGGGGTTGCAGGAGTTTTTTGCCACTTTCGCGGTGGAATGAATGAATGAATGAATAATTGAATGAATGAATGAATGAATGAATGAATGAATGAATGAATGAATGAGACTTTATTTCCGT